GGTGCGACGGGGCCGGGCGGGTGCGACGGGGCCGGGCGGCTGCGACGGGGCCGGGCGAGCGCGACGGGGCCGGGCAGGGTGCGACGGCGCCGGGCGGGCGCAACGGGGCCGGGCGGCGGCGACGGCGCCGGGCGGGCGCGACGGGGCCGGGCGGTGGCGACGGGGTCGGGCGGGCGCGACAGCGCCGGGCGGGCACGACGGGGCCGGGCGGCGGCGACGGGTACGACGCGGCCCAGGAGGGGCGCGACGGGGCCCAGGAGGGGCGCTACGGAGCCCAGGAGGGGCGCGACAGAGCCCAGGAGGGGCGCGACGAGGCCTGGGAGGAGCGCGACGGGGCCCAGGAGGGGCGCTAGGGGGCCTGGGAGGAGCGCGACGGGGCCTGGGAGGGGCGCGACGGGGCCTGGGAGGGCGTTACAGGGCCCAGGAGGGGCGCTACGAAGCCCAGGAGGGGCGCGACGAGGCCCAGGAGGGGCGCTACGGGGCCCAGGAGGGGCGCGACGGGGCGCTACGGGGCCTGGGAGGAGCGCGACGGGGCCCAGGAGGGGCGCTAGAGGGCCTGGGAGGGGCGCGACGGGGCCTGGGAGGGGCGCGACGGGGCCTGGGAGGGCGGTACAGGGCCCAGGAGAGGCGCTACGAAGCCCAGGAGGGGCGCGACGAGGCCCAGGAGGGGCGCTACGGGGCCCAGGAGGGGCGCGACGGGGCGCTACGGGACGTGGGAGGAGCGCGACGGGGCCCAGGAGGGGCGCTAGTGGGCCTGGGAGGAGCGCGACGGGGCCTGGGAGGGGCGCGACGGGGCCTGGCAGGGGCGCTACGAAGCCCAGGAGGGGCGCGACGGGGCCTGGCAGGGGCGCTACGAAGCCCAGGAGGGGCGCGACGAGGCCCAGGAGGGGCGCTACGGGGCCTGGGAGGAGCGCGACGGGGCCCAGGAGGGGCGCTAGGGGGCCTGGGAGGAGCGCGACGGGCAGGGCTGATTTTATCAGACTATTTTAGTCTGATTGTCTGAAATTTCAGACCCATTTTTTTGCCAATCCTGATTTTTCAGACTTAGGCTTTTCTGGATACTGAACCCTTCAGACTTGTAAGATTTTGGATCCTGAAGTTTTCAGAGTAGTCGTTGTACGGATACTGAGGTTTCAGAGTACATCGCGTATGGACTCTGAATACGACATCCATGCACCTTGTACTTTCCACGAGATTTCCTCTACTACGTCATATGTTGCCTTCATCATTTCACCCCCGCACGTCTCACGTGAAGTATCTGCACTTGGCAGGATTCTCGCCCCCTCTGTGACTGTGATACTGCCTCAACAGGGACTTTGCCGCTCAGCGCATCATGCTTCCTGCCACGCGTGCGACCTCTACGTGGGTGTGTTGGAAGCCATCAAAGATTGGTAACGCGGGATTCTTGCCCTCGCTGGCATGTGCAAAACTTTCCGACCGACCGTGATTGGCGACAGTCCATGCCAACACATGGTTCGTTCGTAACGTCAGCTCATGTTTGGCATGGCGGCGCGGGTTTGGAAGGGGCTGCCATCCAGAAGTTGACGACGACAGTTAACCAAGAAACACGCGCCTCGGGCTTGATGGTGCCCTTCTTCTTCGTCCCTCTCATCCCTCCCCCTCCTCTCAGGCGCACTCAGGCTTTTACACGGGGTTTGTAAATCTTACTCGTCAATTCGTGTTTCGTTGTTCTCGTCCTCACGTAGGTTCTCGTTTGTCGACCCCGTCAACAGCCATGACGGGGACTCCTGCAGAAGAAGACGATGAGCCCAGCGCCGATGAACCACCTCGTAGTAACGAGCCCTGCAGAGGTTCGTCGCTCTGCGATAGACATACTGCGGTCGTTAGGTTCTCCTCCCGTCGTTGCTGTTGTGGTTTCCTCCGCAGCGGAGGAAACCCAGCCTGCTCTAAACCCACCCCCGTCCGCGCCCTTCGTGCCACCACCATATGTCCCTCCGCCTGCCGTCGCCTCATCCAGCAGAGGCCCGACTCTGCCCGTTAAGTGCGTCACCGCCACCACAGTCCGCTACAGCGTGCCCTGCGCGTCCACGATTTTGTCTGCGAAGAAACAACGGACGGGCAAGTACACCCAGTCTCAAATCATGATCGGAGGTAGGCTCCGCCGCCCATCCACGCCGCCATCACCTAGTGCAGTCCCTGCCGTCGTTGAACCGCCACCGCCAAAGCTGAGTAAGAAGGAACTGATAGAGCAGAAATACCTCGTCGCTGAAGCAAAGTACAAAACTTCATGGCTGCCTTTCTTTCCATGGCTAGTGCTGACCAAAACAAAAGACGGCCACCCTTCTCTCAAGTGCAGTGTGTGCATGACGTTTGGCAAGGAGACCACCAAGTACAGCTCTTCGGGCGATGGTGGCCGAGACCTGCAGACACAGACCATGCGCATACACGAGCACTCTTCTGCACACAAGGAAGCTGTGGATGCCCAGCTGAAGATTGCCGACGACATCGCCGATGGGCAGAAGAGGATGGACGACTATTTGTCGTCGGATGTCGAGGGGAGGCGGGTCGTGCGACTGCTCCGCGCTGTTGAGTTTCTCTGTAAGGTCGATGCTCCCATCAGCATGTTTCCTCGGCTATGTCGCTTTATGGCTGAGCAGGACACCCCGGACCTACCGCTCCAGTCTTACGGTGTTTATCTCACTCGGTAAGTACGGGCGACGACATTCCATTAGTCTTCTCCGTTGGTTTTTTTTAACAATTACTCTCTCTTCTGCATGCAGGTACGGCTTTCAACAGATGGTCCACTGCTTGGCGACTCTTCTTCAACGGACCCAGATGCAGCACATTCAATCGTCCCCGTTCATCGGCATCAGTTGCGACGAGAGCACTGATCGTACTAGAGGGAAGCACCTGATAGTGTACCTCACGTTCCTGCGCCATCGCCGCGTCGTCACCGAGTTTTTCTCGTTGCTCACCGTCGAGAAGTGCGACGCCGCCTCCCTGCTCTCCGTGCTTCTCACTCATCTTCAAGGCGCCGGCATCGAACTGAACCGCATCGCGGGAATCAGCACCGATGGCGCTTCCGTCATGGTTGGTCGTGAGAACGGTCTCGTGGCGCGGCTCCGCGAGCACATCCCTCACCTTGTGTCGTCCCACTGCATCGCCCACCGGTATAAACTCGTTATGTTATGTTGTCGCTTTTTTTTTTTTTTTTTTTTTTTTTCGTTTACTAATCTTTTCACATGCACTGTGCGCAGGGAAGCTCTGGCTGTGAAGGACGCCGCGTCTGCCTGTCCAGACTTGGACATGGTCGACAAGGTTATCCGAACTCTGGCCGATCTCCTCGGCCGTTCAAGCGTGTGGAGCCAGCGGTTCAAGTACCTTCAGCGTGTCATCCACAAGACCAACCTTGAAGTTCAAGGAATCCACGCGATTCGGTGGTTGTCCAGGGGCGAGGCAGTCAGACGCCTCTGTAAGGTCCTTGGTGCGGCCATCGTTTTACTGTACGAGTATAACCATGAGTTGTACGAGGTTGTCATCTCATACAAGTTTCAGTTTTGTCTCTTCTTCCTGGCGGACGTCCTCGCCATCATGAACGAGCTCAACCTCAAGTTTCAGAAGCGAGAGGTGAGCCCTTGCATGTGAGGTTGTGGTATGTCCTTTCACAATCAGCACTAACATTCTCCCCCTTGATTTGCGCCCCCCTGTTTCCACCACCCCTCCCCCCCCCCCCCCCGCCCGACCGCAGGTGGATGTTACCGAGATAACACAGGACGTCGACGAGGCGGTGGGGGATCTTCGGCACCGCTACTTGGAGTGCGGCGGGGTTTTCGGTGCGGGCGTAAGCGGCACGTGGCTCTCGGCTTTCTTAACCGTGTACGGGCGAGGGGGGGCGAAGAAAGTGAAGGTGCGCGGCGTCGACAAGGACGGGCAGCCGGTGACGCACACGTACCAGATGCACGAGCGGCAGATCAAGGGGCACGTCTACCAGAGCAACTACCGGGACTGCGAACTGTTATGCGCGAAATTCGCGAGGGGGAGCGTGACGAACCTGCTGGAGCGGCTGGACGACCTGTCGAAGCTCGGGCCGACGAAGCTGTTTCGGGCGGGCAAGTGGCCGCGGCATCGGATGGTGAGGGAGAAGAAGACGAGAGAGTATCTCCATGGCTGCAGTGCTATCTTCGACGACAAGCTCCCCGGGTTCGATTTGAAGGAGGCGGAGAAGGAGCTGGCAACTTGGGCCCCGATCATGCAGAACCACCACAACGAGGAGGGCTTCTACCAGGGCCTCACGAATTACCTTGGCAACACGGAGTCAAGCAGGTAAGTCGAGTCTCCAAAGCACGCTGCTGTGTCTGCCTGTGTATGATTGTTTTTGCCAGTTTGATCACGCTAACTGTCTATGTTTGTATCAACTTCTATTGTTCCTTTCCCACCATGCTTGTAGTTTATAATTGATTCTATTGTTCCACGCCTCTTCTCTGGCAAGCATGCGCGGTGTTACCACTCTCAACTGTGGAGTGCGAGCGTGGTTTTTCCAGGCAGAACGTGATCAAGTCTTGGGTCCGTGGTGCTCTGTGCAATGCCCGCCTGGGTGAGCTGATGATGATTTCGCTGCTGAGATACGACATCAACTGGCAAGAGGCGCTGGAGCTGTGGCACGCAAAAAAGAGAAGACCAGCGAAGTCGGTGGTGTTCGCATCACAAGAGAGGAAGCGCAAAGGCAAGGCTCTGCTGGAAGAGGCAGAGCAGGAACCTCCAGTGCCAGACTACTTAGGAAAGGATTGGGATGAGGAGGAGGAGGAGGAGGGGGAGAGGGATGGTGGAGGTGCAGTAGCTATAGAAGACAACCCCTTTCTGTCGGATGATGAGGCGGAGGATGTCGTCGCTGTGGATGTGCCAGAGTTCTAGCTAGGCTAGGAAATTAGACTAGGTGTAGGTTAACTGCCCGAATGTTATTAAAAATTGGCGACTAAATGGTAAAATCACGACTCTGATTCATACTTGCGAACCCTGAAGAAATCAGACTTGAAAGTTACTGGATCCTGAGAAATCAGACTACCAGGAAAACTGAAACCTGACTACTCAGACTTGGGAAAAATTTTTGGGGCTAAAATCAGAGTGGGTTTTTTTGAAACGTCAGCCCTGGCGACGGGGCCTGGGAGGAGCGCGACGGGGCCCAGGAGGGGCGCTAGGGGGCATGAGCGGAAGCGGTAGGTGGGGGGGGGGGATCCTACCTACGCGTGATACCATATCAGAATAATTGAATAATGGTAAAGTGAGAGTACACACAAATATATCTAAGTTTTGTATCCTCTAAGAGATGACTCTATACAGTCTATACAAACATGACAAATACACATGTTTGACAATATATTGTTATGTAGAAGATGTAGGCTAAATAGGGTATGTTCTTAGTGGGTACAACCCAAACACATTTTTTCCACCTGTTCTCCATTCTTCTAATCATTCTTTCTAGTCTTAACACAAGCCTACCATTATATATATCAAATATATAATTTAACAGTATATGCATACATGCACTCCTGAAAATATTCATCAAGTCAACCACATCTGGGTTTAGTGAATGGACATTGAGAAATCGTGACGTTTTCCTTTATAGCTAAGTACCGGTATGATTTATTAAGTAAACCACGTGATATGTGATTCCACTACTCCATACCGTCATGGTTCCACAAAGGTTAGCAACTTAGGGCGTGTCCCGCGTGTACGTTTTTCGCTCACTACCCTACCTAACCGTTTTCGATTGTTTTTCTTGCCTTTCGAATCGCACGGCATCTTTGTTCACCGAAATCAAACGTATGCGCGGAACAAGCCCTAAGCATGTTAACACAACCGGCGTCCTTAGAAGTTCCACATCACCTTTCGTTGCACGTACCAGTCTCGCCCGTCTCCTGCTCTCTCCGCCGTGCGCTGTCCCACGGATTTCTCGCCGCCGACTACTCGTTCCCCCTTCGCGCCCAGCCACCTTCTTGCGCTCGCCTCGCCTGCCTCTTGCGCCTGACTCCTTGCGGAAAGAAGGAGGCTCCGCACTAGCGCCTCGGCCTCAAGGCGCTGCTGCCTTGCGGGGACCCGCCCGCCCGCCCGCCTGCCCGCCAGCGATGGTTCGATACGCGCAGCTGGTGATCGGGCCGGCGGGCAGCGGCAAGGTGACTGTCGTCGCGATACGCGCACTCCCTTCATCCGCCTTGTGCTGCTGTAACGAGTAGCGAGTGCGATTCAGACGCGTATGTTTGTCCTCCGCACAGCCGCCTCGACGGCAAGGCGGCTGCCGTCTCGAAGGCCGCGCGCCCTTAACGTCTTAATTCAACGAGAATTCCGGGCGTGCACCGCAGATTAGGACTGCCTCGGATGGCACCGCTGCCTCGTCCCGCTGTCACCCCCTCCCGGCGTGCGCGCACCCCTCATCTAGTTGCGCACCCTTGGTTCCCCTCTCATCCGCCGCTCCTCTCTTCCGCCCTCCGCCTTCCCCCCTCTCCCCCTTCCCCTCTCCCCTCTCCCCTCTCTCCTATCCCCTCTCCCCTCTCCCCTCTCCCCTCTCCCCAATCCCCATTCCCCGCTCTTCTCTTCCCTCTCCCCTCTGCCAATTCCCGTCTCCCGTCTGCCCCTCACCCCTCCCCCCTCCCCTCACCCTCCTCCCCCTTCCCCCCAGTCGACGTACTGTGCGACGGTGCAGCAGCACTGCCAGAGCGTGGGGCGCACTGCACACGTGGTCAACCTCGACCCTGCGGCTGAGGAGTTCAAATACGAGGTGGCCGTGGGTGAGTGGATTAAGTACGAGGTGGCCGAGTTCGAAGTGGCCGAGTGCGAGGTGGCCGTAAGAGGGACGAGGAGGAGGGGTGACAGGGTGGACAAGGGTTGGCGAGGGCGCGGGGGAGGAAGAGAGGGGGGAAAGGGACAGGGGAGGAGTGGGTGTTGGGGGTGAATGGGGTGGCCAGGGGGTGGGGGGGGGGGAGGGTTGTCCGCGTTGCAGGCTTCTGGGAACAGCCGGTGGCTGCTACTGTCTCTTGACGTTTTCCCGTGTGTCACTCGCTCGCACTCCCTCTGCTTCAAATCTCCCCCTCTCTTCCCTCGCACCCATACCTTCCACCAGTCGTTCTGTTCATGCCACTTCCTTCCCTCTCCTCCCCTTGTCCCCTCGTCCCCTCGACCTGCAGTGCTTCTCCTCGTCCCCTCGACCTGCCTCTTTTTGTGTCCCAGCCATATGTGTGAGCCGTGCACTAGTCTCTATGCCACGTGGGCATTGGGTGGAACACCTTTCTCTCCCTGTGCCTCCTCTCGCCCCTCCTGCCTATCACCCCCGCCCTGCCAGCAGCAGCACCACCGGCGTCAGAGCACGTAGCAGAGACTCTGGTAGTGGCCCTTTGGACGTGTTTTGGTCGTGCGTATGTCCCTCACTCTCTCTACCCCCCCACACTCTCCTCTTTCGTTCCCCCTCGCTCCCTTCTCTCCTTTGCCCTCCCTCCTCTCTCGCCTCTGTTCCTCCCTCTTTCTCCCTCCCTCGCTCCTCGTTCTTCTACCTCCTCTACCTCCCTGCCCGTCCTCCCTCCCTTTCCTCCGTCCCCGTACTCTCTCTCCCCCTCTCCTGCCCCCCCCTCCCTGCCCTTCCCTCCCTGCTTCCCCCTCCCTGCCCTTCCCGCCCTACCTCCCCCTCTCTGCCCTTCCCGCCCTGTCCACCGTGGCAGATGTGCGGGAGCTGGTGGCATTGGAGGATGTGATGGAGGAGCTCAAGCTGGGGCCCAATGGGGGGCTCATATACGCCATGGAGTGAGTGCCGCGTGCTGTATGGATGGGCACCGGGTTGAGAGGGGTACATGTATGGAGTGAGCTTAAATCGCTGTTCCTGCATCTCTTGCCGTGTAAACATTACTTCATGAGAAATCTTTGATCTCTCCTCTTCCTTCCCCTCCCTCCTCCCCCCCCACCCCCTTTCACCCCCTCCTTCCCTCTCGCTCTTTCCCTCTCCCTTCCGCCCGCCCCCCCCGCAGATACCTGGAGGAGTCCCTGGACGACTGGTTGAAGCAGCAGCTGGACGACTTCCACGACGACGACTACCTCGTCTTCGACTGCCCTGGTGGGCTGCTACCGCTGCCACTGCCGCACTCTCTGCCGCACTCTCTGTCGCACTCTCTGCCGCACTCTCTGTCGCACTCTCTGCCGCACTCTCTGTCGCACTCTCTGCCGCACTCTCTGTCGCACTCTCTGCCGCACTCTCTGTCGCACTCTCTGTCGCACCCTTTGTTGCACTCTCTGCCACACGTACCGCATGCACCCGCCGCGCATGTCATGCGCACCAGCTGGTCTGCTCGCCCCTTGGTGCCCTGCCCATGGGACAAGGGTCTCTCATGATGGCAACGCTTGCTTGCTCTGAGGCGCTGCATGCCCACCTGACTCACAATCTCCTTTCCGTCTCCCCTTCCCCTCCCCCCCTTCCTCCCCCCCCCCTCCCCCGTCCGCCCCACCACCGTCCAATTTTCTCTTGCACGAGAAGCACCTTCCTGTTTTTTTTGCTCTCATGTTTTCTCCTCTCTCAGTCTCACCACTCGTCCCAGCTATGCCCCTGCTCTCCCCCCTGTCCCCTGTCCCGTGTGCTGGGTGGGTGCAGGGCAGATCGAGCTGTACTCGCACGTGCCGGTGCTGCGCACGTTCGTGGACCAGCTCAAGCGCTGGGACTTCCAGATCTGCGCCGTCTACCTCATCGACTCCCAGGTGTGTGCCTCTCTCGCCCTCTCCATCCCAATCACATGCAGTGCAGCCCCCCCGCCAATTTGCAGTCCAGTACTCGACTTCTCGATTTCAGGCAGGTAGAATGGAGACACGGAGGCCACGACAAGGTGCGACTTGCTACGAGGTGCCTCTTTCTCCCACATTTTTGACGAGGTCAAGTGGTGGCCCTGGCGTGAAATCAGACGTCACCTGCTCCAGGTCCCCTCCCCGTTTCTTTCCCCCTCTCCCCCTCCCTTACCCTCCCCCCCCCCCACCCCACCTGTGCATCAGTTCATCTGTGCCGGCGCCAAGTTCATCAGCCACCTGAGTGCAGTTGAAAGCCACCTGCCTCGCTCCCTCCCTCCCTCCACCCTCCCTCCCCCCTCCCTCCTCCCTCCCTCCTCCCTCCCTCCCCCCTCCCTCCCCCCTCCCCGTCAGTTCATCTGTGACGATGCCAAGTTCATAGCGGGCATGCTGGCGTCGCTGTCCGCCATGGTGCAGCTGGAGCTGCCGCATGTCAACGTGCTCACCAAGGTCGACCTGCTGCAAGATAAACGTGCCATCGAAAAGTGAGCGCTTGTGCACCGTGCCGTGCCGTGTCATGTTGCCTCCTTCTCTTCTCCTCCTCCACGAATCCCTCCATCCCATATACTCTACATCCGCCTTCTCCTGTCTGATTCCCCCCTTCCCCCCTCCCCCCACCCCCACCCCCCACCCCTTTCCTTCAGGTACCTAGAGCCAGAGGCGGCCATGCTGCTGTCGGACCTGGATCGCTCCATGCCGCCCCGCTTTGCCCGCCTCAACCAAGCCATTGCCCAGCTGGTGGGGGGCGCTCTGGGGAAGGGGGTTTGAGGGGGTGTGAAACGGGGGAAGAGGGTGCGGCTGAGGGGTTAGTGGAAGGTGGATCCGAGGAGGAGAAGAGATGTGCGTGTGCGTGCACGCGTGTCTGTGTGTGTCTGTTCGTGCATGGATGTGTGGGGCAATGTGCTGCCTACACGTCCTGTCACATCAGACGGCGTGCATGCATGTCTCTGCCTGTCTTTGTCTGCCGCTCGCCATGTCACTCTCTCACTTCTCCCCACCCACCCACCACCCTCGTGGCCTGTGTGCGTGCATGGCAGGTGGATGACTACAGCCTTGTCAACTTCCTCCCTCTCGACATATCAGACGAGGACAGGCACGCGATCTCCCTCTCTCCCTCACTCGCTCTCTCTCCCCCGCACATATCCCACGAACACACGCACATCCTCCCTTCCACCCCAGCCCCTCCTTCCTCACTTCTTTTCTCTCCTACACGTTCTCTCAAACCCCGCGCTCCCACACTTCCCATCCTCCCTGTTTTGCACGTCTCTTCCACTGTCACTTCATTGAACCGCCCATCTGCCGCACCCTTCCTCCCACCCATCATCTTCCTACCATCCCTCCCTGCGTTACATCTCTCCCCCATCCATCGTGCCTCAAACTCCCCGTCTTCTTCACTCTCCCACTCTCTGCTTTCTCGCCCCCTCCCTTTCTCCATTTGACTCTCCCCCTCCCGCTACCTCAGCTTTTGTTGTTCCGTCTTATTGCTTTACCCTGTAATGGCATGTTATGGGTGGAATGGCATGTTATGGGTGGAATGGCATGTTATGGGTGGAATGGCATGTTATGGGTGGAATGGCATGTTATGGGTGGAATGGCATGCTATCGGATCGGATGGCGTGGCTCGCCATGGGCATGGCACGGGCATGGGCATGGTGTGGTGGTGTTTTGCGGTGCGTGATGGAGCAGCATCCAGTACGTGCTATCGCAGGTGGACAACGCCATACAGTACGGCGAGGATGCCGATGTCAAGATCAAAGACGAGCCGGAGGAGGAGTGGGAGGGGGAGTGAGGGCACGGTGCAAGTGCCACAACGGGATCTGACTGGGGCCAGGGGACTGTGTGCCTGCCTGGCACGGTGGCCAGGGCACCAAGTGTGTTCGGTTTTCTTGCACACTCCAGGTCAGCTCCAATGCCTCACAATTTCCAAGCTCCTGGGGTATCACTGGTGGCTCTGGACAGGCAGCGGAGTGGGCGGCAGAGGGGGCAGCAGATGAAGCAGCAGCGGGACCAGCCGATGGGGCAGCGGGACCAGCAGATGGGGCAGCGGGACCAGCAGATGGGGCAGCGGGACCAGCAGATGGGGCAGCGGGGGCAGCAGACTCCCTTGACTGCCGTCTACCCATGGCGTGCTGCCATGTGGAATGTGCTCTCATGTCTGTAGCATGTATGTTAGGCTAACAGCTGGTGTTCTTGGTTGCCTTGCACGTTCCTGGTCCGTCTTTGGCTCTAGATCTTGTTCTGTGCTGTGTCAGATGGCTTCTCTGTGATGCAAGTGGTCCTGTTGTCTCATCATGGAACTGAAGTGCAATGAATTCCAGCTGGAACAGTCCAAACACATCAGAAATGTACAGTTAAGCAGCGCACAACATGCGCCCTCTGACTCCTACCATACTACTCTGTGCCTCTTTCAACTGTCTGCTCTAGCACACTATGGAACGCTCACCAGCACAGAACCTCCAACCCCTGCCTCCATCCCACCACCGCTCTCCACCAGAAGCATCCCTCCCTAGAAGGGCGTGGAGCCAACGAAGTTGCCAGGAGGGGAGTAGTCGCACACCCACATGCCTCCCCCATCAGGGCACTGCGCGGAGGCGCAGCCCACGTGCGTGGTGTCGCGCCACACCACCTGCGTGTAGTGCCCGCACATCCTGCCGTCCGCACACCCCTCGGGCACGGGGCTGTACGTCCAGTCCGCCTTCTCCTCCACCCACGACTGCACCGCCATGCGATCCTCCTCAGGGGTCAGCCCCGCGGGTGCGCGCCAGTACAGGTTCTGCCCGAGCCCCTCCGCCCCTCCGTGCTCCAGAGGGCACCCCCTGGAGGCCAGGTTGTTGGCCCACTCCGCCGCTGCCGCTGCCACCCCGTCGTCCCACGCCAGGTCCGCCACCCCCACCTCCTGCCGCGCCCTGTTGTGCTCCTCCAGGATCGCCCCCACGTCCATGCCGCCGCCCCCACCGCCGCTGCTGCCATCCCCAGTGCCATCGCAGTCGGTGTAGTCCCTGCCATTGCTCGCACCAGCGCCAGCCCCTTCGTAGTCCCCACCGCTCAAGTCACCATTTCCAGAGGGGTGCGCGAGGCGCGGATCCGCGGCACCATGGCGGCTGGCGCTGCTCGTCGGCAGCAAGGCTGCGGCGCCATCGCCGTGCCCCCTGTGAATCGCCACGTCTTCGTCCGACGCCACGTGAATCCCCGACATGCCGTGCTGCGCCTGGTTGTTCTCGCTGTGCACCTTGAAGCCGCCGTTGCGGTTGCTGCCAGGAGTGCCGCGGCCCTGCTTGGGTGCTGCCCACCTGCCGCTTCCGGAGCCACGAGGGGAGTTGTGGTGGCGAATCGCCACGTCAGCGCTGCTCGCGACGCGGAATGCGCCGCTGGGACGGACGTGGGGCGCCGCCCGCTCGTTGGTGCCGCGCTTGTGGTGCTGCGCTGTGACTGGGCCAGAGCGACTCGGATGCTGGTTTCCAGCTGGCGTCCACGTGTTCGCAGCGCGGCGCTGCTGCCAGTGGTTGCCGCCAACTGTTTGGACACGGGCCCCAGGGACGTGCTTCTCAGCCTTGGAGTTGCCGTGACGTGCGTTGACCTCGGGCGTACCACTGGCGCTAGAGGCCTTCCACGAGACTGCATCATTGGGAGCGGATGACTCATGTGACGGGGTGGCTTTGCCGCTGACCAGGCCGCGACGGGTGGCGGGGTGCGCCGTACAAGCGCCGATGATGAGGAAGAGAACCACCGGGAGCAGTCTGAGCCGTCGATTCTCCATGGAGCAGGGGAGGATGCTCATTTCCTTAAGATATTCGGCACTAATTGAAGTACCTAAGTTAGCTGCTTGCAACCTAGGAAGAGCTGCTGAGTTCAAGTTGTAGGTTTGGCGGGGGGATGGAAGGGAAATGATGAATTGTGCTTTGCGAATTGCTGGCCACGCATTTGTACCATTGATTTTGTGGTCCGAGGTGCGGCTCGGGAATCCGCGTGGCGAAGACGTGACGAATTACGGTTACGGGTTCGAGTGCCGTGAGCGAGACGGGGAGGAGGGTCGAAGCGCGCGGTCCTTGGTTTGCCCGATCGGTTTCCCCATGAGGTCAAGTCTGACATATACTCTCTAATGAATGATCTCATATCCACAACTTAGTTTACTTGTGCATAAATGTTTACGTTTCTAGGACCATTCACGATTTGTTTCCTAGTCGAGGACCCACTTACCACCTCCAACTCCTTCGGAGTTTCGTGTGCGTCTTTTTGATTCTTTTTTTCTGAAATAAGCCATGAGCAAGTAATGAAATCCTTATTTTTGTAAGTAATGCTACAAACCCCGAGTACAGGGTAGCGACTTGTGTATATTCTAACGGCATCTAGGCTAGCGTCGGCAGCGGAGATACCCACCACCTTGAGATCAATCCATTCCACTTCCTCCCGTTACTACCTCTCCACTACAGTTCTAGCAAGCATTCCGTGCTGCGCCATGCCTGCGGCGCTACTGCACTCGTCGCCATGCGTACTTTCGCTGCAGCTGCCACACGATTCCTCCTCTTCTTTGCCTCCCCGCCACTTGGCGCTGCTGCTCCTGCTGGGGAAAGCTGTGCGTGGGCAGTCGGAGTTTCGCTGCTGTGTGTGGGAAGTCGGAGCTGCGCTGCTGTGCTTCCTCCTGCGACAGTGCGATGAGAAAGCGCGCCTCTAGCGGCTCTCGCGTAGCCATGATCGCCCTGCGTTAGCGAGATGAGCGGGTCGTTGGATAGCCAAGTAGTGCCACCTCCAGTTTTCAAGGCCCATATGGTGGAAACCTCGCACGCGCACTGTTCAGTTGGGCAGCAGTGGCAGCAACAGCAAGTTTAGCTGTGGTGTGAGTAGGGCAAGCAGCAGCAGCAGTAGCAGCACACGGGGGATATCTCGCATGGGGGTTCTGCTGCAACTGGTGCAATGGCGAGAGATGATACTTTTTTCTGCAGTCCGGGGGGGCAGCCGGGGTGGCAGCCGAGGGGGCAGCTGTGAAGGCAGCAGTGGAGGCAGCAGTGGAGGCAGCAGTGGAGGCAGCAGTGGAGGCAGCATGGGAGGCAGCGGATGGAGAGCGGTTTGAGTGGTGCATGCGGAAATGGCACAGTCTTGTGCAATGGATAAGAGGTTATGACAAGGTGGGTCTGAGCAGAGACCTATCCATCGTAGGGATTGATCTCGTAGCAGGGCAAAGCGGCCTGCAATACAGCTCGCACCCCATCCCAGCTGCACACGCAGCAGGTGACTGCAGGCAGTGGTCATGGCACAAAGCACGGGTGCACCGCGCATGTGCAGTGCAGGTGTCCGGGCATTCAGGCGGTCCACGGATGGAAGAATCCACAAACGCCCGTTCCACGCCACTGCAAGTGGGCCCTCCCCTGAATCCTACCTCTTCCCCTCCCTCCCCTCCATCGACCTGCGGCATGACAAGCGCCCCATCGGTAAGTTAGCACCCATGTGCTGTGCGGTTCTCTGCGGTTCTGTGCTGTTCTGTGCCGTGCCGTGCTTTGCGGTTCTGTGCTGTACTGTGCCATGCCGCGCTGTGAGGTTCTGTGCCGTACTATGCTGTGTCGTGCAAGTTCATCAGCACTGCCTCTTGAGTGCAATTGAAAGCCACCTGCCTCGCTCCCTCCCTCCCTCCTCCCTCCCTCCTCCCTCCCTCCTCCCTCCCTCCCCCCTCCCTCCCCCTCCCTCCCCCTCCCTCCCCCTCCCTCCCCCCTCCCTCCCCCCTCCCCGTCAGTTCATCTGTGACGATGCCAAGTTCATAGCGGGCATGCTGGTGTCGCTGTCCGCCATGGTGCAGCTGGAGCTGCCGCATGTCAACGTGCTCACCAAGGTCGACCTGCTGCAAGATAAATGCGCCATCGAAAAGTGAGCGCTTGTGCACCGTGCCGTGCCGTGTCATGTTGCCTCCTTTTCTTCTCCTCCTCCACGAATCCCTCCATCCCATATACTCTCCATCCGCCTTCTCCTGTCTTGTTCCCCCCTTCCCCCCCTCCCCCCCACCCCCCACCCGCCACCCCTTTCCTTCAGGTACCTAGAGCCAGAGGCGGCCATGCTGCTGTCGGACCTGGATCGCTCCATGCCGCCCCGCTTCGCCCGCCTCAACCAAGCCATTGCCCAGCTGGTGGGGGGCGCTCTGAGGAAGGGGGTTTGAGGGGGTGTGAAACGGGGGAAGAGGGTGCGGCTGAGGGGTTAGTGGAAGGTGGATCCGAGGAGGAGAAGAGATGTGCGTGTGCGTGCACGCGTGTCTGTGTGTGTCTGTTCGTGCATGGATGTGTGGGGCAATGTGCTGCCTACACGTCCTGTCACATCAGACGGCGTGCATGCATGTCTCTGCCTGTCTTTGTCTGCCGCTCGCCATGTCACTCTCTCACTTCTCCCCACCCACCCACCACCCTCGTGGCCTGTGTGCGTGCATGGCAGGTGGATGACTACAGCCTTGTCAACTTCCTCCCTCTCGACATATCAGACGAGGACAGGCACGCCATCTCCCTCTCTCCCTCACTCGCTCTCCCCCGCACATATCCCACGAACACACGCACATCCTCCCTTCCACCCCAGCCCCTCCTTCCTCACTTCTTTTTTCTCCTGCACGTTCTCTCGAATCCCGCGCTCCCACACATCCCATCCTCCCTGTTTTCCACGTCTCTTCCACTGTCACTTCATTGAACTGTCCATCTGCCGCACCCTTCCTCCCACCCATCATCTTCCTACCATCCCTCCCTGCGTTACATCTCTCCCCCATCCATCGTGCCTCAAACTCCCCGTCTTCTTCACTCTTTCACTCTCTGCTTTCTCGCCCCCTCCCTTTCTCCATTTGACTCTCCCCCTCCCGCTAACTCAGCTTTTGTTGTTCCGTCTTATTGCTTTACCTTGTAATGGCATGTTATGGGTGGAATGGCATGTTATGGGTGGAATGGCATGTTATGGGTGGAATGGCATGCTATCGGATCGGATGGCGTGGCTCGCCATGGGCATGGCACGGGCATGGGCATGGTGTGGTGGTGTTTTGCGGTGCATGATGGAGCAGCATCCAGTACGTGCTATCGCAGGTGGACAACGCCATACAGTACGGCGAGGATGCCGATGTCAAGATCAAAGACGAGCCGGAGGAGTGGGAGGGGGAGTGAGGGCACGGTGCAAGTGCCACAATGGGATCTGACTGGGGCCAGGGGACTGTGTGCCTGCCTGGCACGGTGGCCAGGGCACCAAGTGTGTTCGGTTTTCTTGCACACTCCAGGTCAGCTCCAATGCCTCACAATTTCCAAGCTCCTGGGGTATCACTGGTGGCTCTGGACAGGCAGCGGAGTGGGCGGCAGAGGGGGCAGCGGAGTGGGCGGCAGAGGGGGCAGCAGATGAAGCAGCAGCGGGACCAGCCGATGGGGCAGCGGGACCAGCAGATGGGGCAGCGGGACCAGCAGATGGGGCAGCGGGACCAGCAGATGGGGCAGCGGGGGCAGCAGACTCCCTTGACTGCCGTCTACCCATGGCGTGCTGCCATGTGGAATGTGCTCTCATGTCTGTAGCATGTATGTTAGGCTAACAGCTGGTGTTCTTGGTTGCCTTGCACGTTCCTGGTCCGTCTTTGGCTCTAGATCTTGTTCTGTGCTGTGTCAGATGGCTTCTCTGTGATGCAAGTGGTCCTGTTGTCTCATCATGGAACTGAAGTGCAATGAATTCCAGCTGGAACAGTCCAAACACATCAGAAATGTACAGTTAAGCAGCGCACAACATGCGCCCTCTGACTCCTACCATACTACTCTGTGCCTCTTTCAACTGTCTGCTCTAGCACACTATGGAACGCTCACCAGCACAGAACCTCCAACCCCTGCCTCCATCCCACCACCGCTCTCCACCAGAAGCATCCCTCCCTAGAAGGGCGTGGAGCCAACGAAGTTGCCAGGAGGGGAGTAGTCGCACACCCACATGCCTCCCCCATCAGGGCACTGCGCGGAGGCGCAGCCCACGTGCGTGGTGTCGCGCCACACCACCTGCGTGTAGTGCCCGCACATCCTGCCGTCCGCACACCCCTCGGGCACGGGGCTGTACGTCCAGTCCGCCTTCTCCTCCACCCACGACTGCACCGCCATGCGATCCTCCTCAGGGGTCAGCCCCGCGGGTGCGCGCCAGTACAGGTTCTGCCCGAGCCCCTCCGCCCCTCCGTGCTCCAGAGGGCACCCCCTGGAGGCCAGGTTGTTGGCCCACTCCGCCGCTGCCGCTGCCACCCCGTCGTCCCACGCCAGGTCCGCCACCCCCACCTCCTGCCGCGCCCTGTTGTGCTCCTCCAGGATCGCCCCCACGTCCATGCCGCCGCCCCCACCGCCGCTGCTGCCATCCCCAGTGCCATCGCAGTCGGTGTAGTCCCTGCCATTGCTCGCACCAGCGCCAGCCCCTTCGTAGTCCCCACCGCTCAAGTCACCATTTCCAGAGGGGTGCGCGAGGCGCGGATCCGCGGCACCATGGCGGCTGGCGCTGCTCGTCGGCAGCAAGGCTGCGGCGCCATCGCCGTGCCCCCTGTGAATCGCCACGTCTTCGTCCGACGCCACGTGAATCCCCGACATGCCGTGCTGCGCCTGGTTGTTCTCGCTGTGCACCTTGAAGCCGCCGTTGCGGTTGCTGCCAGGAGTGCCGCGGCCCTGCTTGGGTGCTGCCCACCTGCCGCTTCCGGAGCCACGCGGGGAGTTGTGGTGGCGAATCGCCACGTCAGCGCTGCTCGCGACGCGGAATGCGCCGCTGGGACGGACGTGGGGCGCCGCCCGCTCGTTGGTGCCGCGCTTGTGGTGCTGCGCTGTGACTGGGCCAGAGCGACTCGGATGCTGGTTTCCAGCTGGCGTCCACGTGTTCGCAGCGCGGCGCTGCTGCCAGTGGTTGCCGCCAACTGTTTGGACACGGGCCCCAGGGACGTGCTTCTCAGCCTTGGAGTTGCCGTGACGTGCGTTGACCTCGGGCGTACCACTGGCGCTAGAGGCCTTCCACGAGACTGCATCATTGGGAGCGGATGACTCATGTGACGGGGTGGCTTTGCCGCTGACCAGGCCGCGACGGGTGGCGGGGTGCGCCGTACAAGCGCCGATGATGAGGAAGAGAACCACCGGGAGCAGTCTGAGCCGTCGATTCTCCATGGAGCAGGGGAGGATGCTCATTTCCTTAAGATATTCGGCACTAATTGAAGTACCTAAGTTAGCTGCTTGCAACCTAGGAAGAGCTGCTGAGTTCAAGTTGTAGGTTTGGCGGGGGGATGGAAGGGAAATGATGAATTGTGCTTTGCGAATTGCTGGCCACGCATTTGTACCATTGATTTTGTGGTCCGAGGTGCGGCTCGGGAATCCGCGTGGCGAAGACGTGACGAATTACGGTTACGGGTTCGAGTGCCGTGAGCGAGACGGGGAGGAGGGTCGAAGCGCGCGGTCCTTGGTTTGCCCGATCGGTTTCCCCATGAGGTCAAGTCTGACATATACTCTCTAATGAATGATCTCATATCCACAACTTAGTTTACTTGTGCATAAATGTTTACGTTTCTAGGACCATTCACGATTTGTTTCCTAGTCGAGGACCCACTTACCACCTCCAACTCCTTCGGAGTTTCGTGTGCGTCTTTTTGATTCTTTTTTTCTGAAATAAGCCATGAGCAAGTAATGAAATCCTTATTTTTGTAAGTAATGCTACAAACCCCGAGTACAGGGTAGCGACTTGTGTATATTCTAACGGCATCTAGGCTAGCGTCGGCAGCGGAGATACCCACCACCTTGAGATCAATCCATTCCACTTCCTCCCGTTACTACCTCTCCACTACAGTTCTAGCAAGCATTCCGTGCTGCGCCATGCCTGCGGCGCTACTGCACTCGTCGCCATGCGTACTTTCGCTGCAGCTGCCACACGATTCCTCCTCTTCTTTGCCTCCCCGCCACTTGGCGCTGCTGCTCCTGCTGGGGAAAGCTGTGCGTGGGCAGTCGGAGTTTCGCTGCTGTGTGTGGGAAGTCGGAGCTGCGCTGCTGTGCTTCCTCCTGCGACAGTGCGATGAGAAAGCGCGCCTCTAGCGGCTCTCGCGTAGCCATGATCGCCCTGCGTTAGCGAGATGAGCGGGTCGTTGGATAGCCAAGTAGTGCCACCTCCAGTTTTCAAGGCCCATATGGTGGAAACCTCGCACGCGCACTGTTCAGTTGGGCAGCAGTGGCAGCAACAGCAAGTTTAGCTGTGGTGTGAGTAGGGCAAGCAGCAGCAGCAGTAGCAGCACACGGGGGATATCTCGCATGGGGGTTCTGCTGCAACTGGTGCAATGGCGAGAGATGATACTTTTTTCTGCAGTCCGGGGGGGCAGCCGGGGTGGCAGCCGAGGGGGCAGCTGTGAAGGCAGCAGTGGAGGCAGCAGTGGAGGCAGCAGTGGAGGCAGCAGTGGAGGCAGCATGGGAGGCAGCGGATGGAGAGCGGTTTGAGTGGTGCATGCGGAAATGGCACAGTCTTGTGCAATGGATAAGAGGTTATGACAAGGTGGGTCTGAGCAGAGACCTATCCATCGTAGGGATTGATCTCGTAGCAGGGCAAAGCGGCCTGCAATACAGCTCGCACCCCATCCCAGCTGCACACGCAGCAGGTGACTGCAGGCAGTGGTCATGGCACAAAGCACGGGTGCACCGCGCATGTGCAGTGCAGGTGTCCGGGCATTCAGGCGGTCCATGGATGGAAGAATCCACAAACGCCCGTTCCACGCCACTGCAAGTGGGCCCTCCCCTGAATCCTACCTCTTCCCCTCCCTCCCCTCCATCGACCTGCGGCATGACAAGCGCCCCATCGGTAAGTTAGCACCCATGTGCTGTGCGGTTCTCTGCGGTTCTGTGCTGTTCTGTGCCGTGCCGTGCTTTGCGGTTCTGTGCTGTACTGTGCCATGCCGCGCTGTGAGGTTCTGTGCCGTACTATGCTGTGTCGTGCAAGTTCATCAGCACTGCCTCTTGAGTGCAATTGAAAGCCACCTGCCTCGCTCCCTCCCTCCCTCCTCCCTCCCTCCTCCCTCCCTCCTCCCTCCCTCCCCCCTCCCTCCCCCCTCCCTCCCCCCTCCCTCCCCCCTCCCTCCCCCCTCCCTCCCCCCTCCCCGTCAGTTCATCTGTGACGATGCCAAGTTCATAGCGGGCATGCTGGTGTCGCTGTCCGCCATGGTGCAGCTGGAGCTGCCGCATGTCAACGTGCTCACCAAGGTCGACCTGCTGCAAGATAAATGCGCCATCGAAAAGTGAGCGCTTGTGCACCGTGCCGTGCCGTGTCATGTTGCCTCCTTTTCTTCTCCTCCTCCACGAATCCCTCCATCCCATATACTCTCCATCCGCCTTCTCCTGTCTTGTTCCCCCCTTCCCCCCTCCCCCCCACCCCCCACCCGCCACCCCTTTCCTTCAGGTACCTAGAGCCAGAGGCGGCCATGCTGCTGTCGGACCTGGATCGCTCCATGCCGCCCCGCTTCGCCCGCCTCAACCAAGCCATTGCCCAGCTGGTGGGGGGCGCTCTGAGGAAGGGGGTTTGAGGGGGTGTGAAACGGGGGAAGAGGGTGCGGCTGAGGGGTTAGTGGAAGGTGGATCCGAGGAGGAGAAGAGATGTGCGTGTGCGTGCACGCGTGTCTGTGTGTGTCTGTTCGTGCATGGATGTGTGGGGCAATGTGCTGCCTACACGTCCTGTCACATCAGACGGCGTGCATGCATGTCTCTGCCTGTCTTTGTCTGCCGCTCGCCATGTCACTCTCTCACTTCTCCCCACCCACCCACCACCCTCGTGGCCTGTGTGCGTGCATGGCAGGTGGATGACTACAGCCTTGTCAACTTCCTCCCTCTCGACATATCAGACGAGGACAGGCACGCCATCTCCCTCTCTCCCTCACTCGCTCTCCCCCGCACATATCCCACGAACACACGCACATCCTCCCTTCCACCCCAGCCCCTCCTTCCTCACTTCTTTTTTCTCCTGCACGTTCTCTCGAATCCCGCGCTCCCACACATCCCATCCTCCCTGTTTTCCACGTCTCTTCCACTGTCACTTCATTGAACTGTCCATCTGCCGCACCCTTCCTCCCACCCATCATCTTCCTACCATCCCTCCCTGCGTTACATCTCTCCCCCATCCATCGTGCCTCAAACTCCCCGTCTTCTTCACTCTTTCACTCTCTGCTTTCTCGCCCCCTCCCTTTCTCCATTTGACTCTCCCCCTCCCGCTACCTCAGCTTTTGTTGTTCCGTCTTATTGCTTTACCTTGTAATGGCATGTTATGGGTGGAATGGCATGTTGTGGGTGGAATGGCATGTTATGGGTGGAATGGCATGCTATCGGATCGGATGGCGTGGCTCGCCATGGGCATGGCACGGGCATGGGCATGGTGTGGTGGTGTTTTGCGGTGCGTGATGGAGCAGCATCCAGTACGTGCTATCGCAGGTGGACAACGCCATACAGTACGGCGAGGATGCCGATGTCAAGATCAAAGACGAGCCGGAGGAGTGGGAGGGGGAGTGAGGGCACGGTGCAAGTGCCACAATGGGATCTGACTGGGGCCAGGGGACTGTGTGCCTGCCTGGCACGGTGGCCAGGGCACCAAGTGTGTTCGGTTTTCTTGCACACTCCAGGTCAGCTCCAATGCCTCACAATTTCCAAGCTCCTGGGGTATCACTGGTGGCTCTGGACAGGCAGCGGAGTGGGCGGCAGAGGGGGCAGCGGAGTGGGCGGCAGAGGGGGCAGCAGATGAAGCAGCAGCGGGACCAGCCGATGGGGCAGCGGGACCAGCAGATGGGGCAGCGGGACCAGCAGATGGGGCAGCGGGACCAGCAGATGGGGCAGCGGGGGCAGCAGACTCCCTTGACTGCCGTCTACCCATGGCGTGCTGCCATGTGGAATGTGCTCTCATGTCTGTAGCATGTATGTTAGGCTAACAGCTGGTGTTCTTGGTTGCCTTGCACGTTCCTGGTCCGTCTTGGGCTCTAGATCTTGTTCTGTGCTGTGTCAGATGGCTTCTCTGTGATGCAAGTGGTCCTGTTGTCTCATCATGGAACTGAAGTGCAATGAATTCCAGCTGGAACAGTCCAAACACATCAGAAATGTACAGTTAAGCAGCGCACAACATGCGCCCTCTGACTCCTATCATACTACTCTCTGCCTCTTTCAACTGTCTGCTCTAGCACACTATGGAACGCTCACCAGCACAGAACCTCCAACCCCTGCCTCCATCCCACCACCGCTCTCCACCAGAAGCATCCCTCCCTAGAAGGGCGTGGAGCCAACGAAGTTGCCAGGAGGGGAGTAGTCGCACACCCACATGCCTCCCCCATCAGGGCACTGCGCGGAGGCGCAGCCCACGTGCGTGGTGTCGCGCCACACCACCTGCGTGTAGTGCCCGCACATCCTGCCGTCCGCACACCCCTCGGGCACGGGGCTGTACGTCCAGTCCGCCTTCTCCTCCACCCACGACTGCACCGCCATGCGATCCTCCTCAGGGGTCAGCCCCGCGGGTGCGCGCCAGTACAGGTTCTGCCCGAGCCCCTCCGCCCCTCCGTGCTCCAGAGGGCACCCCCTGGAGGCCAGGTTGTTGGCCCACTCCGCCGCTGCCGCTGCCACCCCGTCGTCCCACGCCAGGTCCGCCACCCCCACCTCCTGCCGCGCCCTGTTGTGCTCCTCCAGGATCGCCCCCACGTCCATGCCGCCGCCCCCACCGCCGCTGCTGCCATCCCCAGTGCCATCGCAGTCGGTGTAGTCCCTGCCATTGCTCGCACCAGCGCCAGCCCCTTCGTAGTCCCCACTGCTCAAGTCACCATTTCCAGAGGGGTGCGCGAGGCGCGGATCCGCGGCACCATGGCGGCTGGCGCTGCTCGTCGGCAGCAAGGCTGCGGCGCCATCGCCGTGCCCCCTGTGAATCGCCACGTCTTCGTCCGACGCCACGTGAATCCCCGACATGCCGTGCTGCGCCTGGTTGTTCTCGCTGTGCACCTTGAAGCCGCCGTTGCGGTTGCTGCCAGGAGTGCCGCGGCCCTGCTTGGGTGCTGCCCACCTGCCGCTTCCGGAGCCACGCGGGGAGTTGTGGTGGCGAATCGCCACGTCAGCGCTGCTCGCGACGCGGAATGCGCCGCTGGGACGGACGTGGGGCGCCGCCCGCTCGTTGGTGCCGCGCTTGTGGTGCTGCGCTGTGACTGGGCCAGAGCGACTCGGATGCTGGTTTCCAGCTGGCGTCCACGTGTTCGCAGCGCGGCGCTGCTGCCAGTGGTTGCCGCCAACTGTTTGGACACGGGCCCCAGGGACGTGCTTCTCAGCCTTGGAGTTGCCGTGACGTGCGTTGACCTCGGGCGTACCACTGGCGCTAGAGGCCTTCCACGAGACTGCATCATTGGGAGCGGATGACTCATGTGACGGGGTGGCTTTGCCGCTGACCAGGCCGCGACGGGTGGCGGGGTGCGCCGTACAAGCGCCGATGATGAGGAAGAGAACCACCGGGAGCAGTCTGAGCCGTCGATTCTCCATGGAGCAGGGGAGGATGCTCATTTCCTTAAGATATTCGGCACTAATTGAAGTACCTAAGTTAGCTGCTTGCAACCTAGGAAGAGCTGCTGAGTTCAAGTTGTAGGTTTGGCGGGGGGATGGAAGGGAAATGATGAATTGTGCTTTGCGAATTGCTGGCCACGCATTTGTACCATTGATTTTGTGGTCCGAGGTGCGGCTCGGGAATCCGCGTGGCGAAGACGTGACGAATTACGGTTACGGGTTCGAGTGCCGTGAGCGAGACGGGGAGGAGGGTCGAAGCGCGCGGTCCTTGGTTTGCCCGATCGGTTTCCCCATGAGGTCAAGTCTGACATATACTCTCTAATGAATGATCTCATATCCACAACTTAGTTTACTTGTGCATAAATGTTTACGTTTCTAGGACCATTCACGATTTGTTTCCTAGTCGAGGACCCACTTACCACCTCCAACTCCTTCGGAGTTTCGTGTGCGTCTTTTTGATTCTTTTTTTCTGAAATAAGCCATGAGCAAGTAATGAAATCCTTATTTTTGTAAGTAATGCTACAAACCCCGAGTACAGGGTAGCGACTTGTGTATATTCTAACGGCATCTAGGCTAGCGTCGGCAGCGGAGATACCCACCACCTTGAGATCAATCCATTCCACTTCCTCCCGTTACTACCTCTCCACTACAGTTCTAGCAAGCATTCCGTGCTGCGCCATGCCTGCGGCGCTACTGCACTCGTCGCCATGCGTACTTTCGCTGCAGCTGCCACACGATTCCTCCTCTTCTTTGCCTCCCCGCCACTTGGCGCTGCTGCTCCTGCTGGGGAAAGCTGTGCGTGGGCAGTCGGAGTTTCGCTGCTGTGCGTGGGAAGTCGGAGCTGCGCTGCTGTGCTTCCTCCTGCGACAGTGCGATGAGAAAGCGCGCCTCTAGCGGCTCTCGCGTAGCCATGATCGCCCTGCGTTAGCGAGATGAGCGGGTCGTTGGATAGCCAAGTAGTGCCACCTCCAGTTTTCAAGGCCCATATGGTGGAAACCTCGCACGCGCACTGTTCAGTTGGGCAGCAGTGGCAGCAACAGCAAGTTTAGCTGTGGTGTGAGTAGGGCAAGCAGCAGCAGCAGTAGCAGCACACGGGGGATATCTCGCATGGGGGTTCTGCTGCAACTGGTGCAATGGCGAGAGATGATACTTTTTTCTGCAGTCCGGGGGGGCAGCCGGGGTGGCAGCCGAGGGGGCAGCTGTGAAGGCAGCAGTGGAGGCAGCAGTGGAGGCAGCAGTGGAGGCAGCAGTGGAGGCAGCATGGGAGGCAGCGGATGGAGAGCGGTTTGAGTGGTGCATGCGGAAATGGCACAGTCTTGTGCAATGGATAAGAGGTTATGACAAGGTGGGTCTGAGCAGAGACCTATCCATCGTAGGGATTGATCTCGTAGCAGGGCAAAGCGGCCTGCAATACAGCTCGCACCCCATCCCAGCTGCACACGCAGCAGGTGACTGCAGGCAGTGGTCATGGCACAAAGCACGGGTGCACCGCGCATGTGCAGTGCAGGTGTCCGGGCATTCAGGCGGTCCACGGATGGAAGAATCCACAAACGCCCGTTCCACGCCACTGCAAGTGGGCCCTCCCCTGAATCCTACCTCTTCCCCTCCCTCCCCTCCATCGACCTGCGGCATGACAAGCGCCCCATCGGTAAGTTAGCACCCATGTGCTGTGCGGTTCTCTGCGGTTCTGTGCTGTTCTGTGCCGTGCCGTGCTTTGCGGTTCTGTGCTGTACTGTGCCATGCCGCGCTGTGAGGTTCTGTGCCGTACTATGCTGTGTCGTGCAAGTTCATCAGCACTGCCTCTTGAGTGCAATTGAAAGCCACCTGCCTCGCTCCCTCCCTCCCTCCTCCCTCCCTCCTCCCTCCCTCCTCCCTCCCTCCCCGTCAGTTCATCTGTGACGATGCCAAGTTCATAGCGGGCATGCTGGTGTCGCTGTCCGCCATGGTGCAGCTGGAGCTGCCGCATGTCAACGTGCTCACCAAGGTCGACCTGCTGCAAGATAAATGCGCCATCGAAAAGTGAGCGCTTGTGCACCGTGCCGTGCCGTGTCATGTTGCCTCCTTTTCTTCTCCTCCTCCACGAATCCCTCCATCCCATATACTCTCCATCCGCCTTCTCCTGTCTTGTTCCCCCCTTCCCCCCCTCCCCCCCACCCCCCACCCGCCACCCCTTTCCTTCAGGTACCTAGAGCTAGAGGCGGCCATGCTGCTGTCGGACCTGGATCGCTCCATGCCGCCCCGCTTCGCCCGCCTCAACCAAGCCATTGCCCAGCTGGTGGGGGGCGCTCTGAGGAAGGGGGTTTGAGGGGGTGTGAAACGGGGGAAGAGGGTGCGGCTGAGGGGTTAGTGGAAGGTGGATCCGAGGAGGAGAAGAGATGTGCGTGTGCGTGCACGCGTGTCTGTGTGTGTCTGTTCGTGCATGGATGTGTGGGGCAATGTGCTGCCTACACGTCCTGTCACATCAGACGGCGTGCATGCATGTCTCTGCCTGTCTTTGTCTGCCGCTCGCCATGTCACTCTCTCACTTCTCCCCACCCACCCACCACCCTCGTGGCCTGTGTGCGTGCATGGCAGGTGGATGACTACAGCCTTGTCAACTTCCTCCCTCTCGACATATCAGACGAGGACAGGCACGCCATCTCCCTCTCTCCCTCACTCGCTCTCCCCCGCACATATCCCACGAACACACGCACATCCTCCCTTCCACCCCAGCCCCTCCTTCCTCACTTCTTTTTTCTCCTGCACGTTCTCTCGAATCCCGCGCTCCCACACATCCCATCCTCCCTGTTTTCCACGTCTCTTCCACTGTCACTTCATTGAACTGTCCATCTGCCGCACCCTTCCTCCCACCCATCATCTTCCTACCATCCCTCCCTGCGTTACATCTCTCCCCCATCCATCGTGCCTCAAACTCCCCGTCTTCTTCACTCTTTCACTCTCTGCTTTCTCGCCCCCTCCCTTTCTCCATTTGACTCTCCCCCTCCCGCTACCTCAGCTTTTGTTGTTCCGTCTTATTGCTTTACCTTGTAATGGCATGTTATGGGTGGAATGGCATGTTATGGGTGGAATGGCATGTTATGGGTGGAATGGCATGCTATCGGATCGGATGGCGTGGCTCGCCATGGGCATGGCACGGGCATGGGCATGGTGTGGTGGTGTTTTGCGGTGCGTGATGGAGCAGCATCCAGTACGTGCTATCGCAGGTGGACAACGCCATACAGTACGGCGAGGATGCCGATGTCAAGATCAAAGACGAGCCGGAGGAGTGGGAGGGGGAGTGAGGGCACGGTGCAAGTGCCACAATGGGATCTGACTGGGGCCAGGGGACTGTGTGCCTGCCTGGCACGGTGGCCAGGGCACCAAGTGTGTTCGGTTTTCTTGCACACTCCAGGTCAGCTCCAATGCCTCACAATTTCCAAGCTCCTGGGGTATCACTGGTGGCTCTGGACAGGCAGCGGAGTGGGCGGCAGAGGGGGCAGCGGAGTGGGCGGCAGAGGGGGCAGCAGATGAAGCAGCAGCGGGACCAGCCGATGGGGCAGCGGGACCAGCAGATGGGGCAGCGGGACCAGCAGATGGGGCAGCGGGACCAGCAGATGGGGCAGCGGGGGCAGCAGACTCCCTTGACTGCCGTCTACCCATGGCGTGCTGCCATGTGGAATGTGCTCTCATGTCTGTAGCATGTATGTTAGGCTAACAGCTGGTGTTCTTGGTTGCCTTGCACGTTCCTGGTCCGTCTTTGGCTCTAGATCTTGTTCTGTGCTGTGTCAGATGGCTTCTCTGTGATGCAAGTGGTCCTGTTGTCTCATCATGGAACTGAAGTGCAATGAATTCCAGCTGGAACAGTCCAAACACATCAGAAATGTACAGTTAAGCAGCGCACAACATGCGCCCTCTGACTCCTACCATACTACTCTGTGCCTCTTTCAACTGTCTGCTCTAGCACACTATGGAACGCTCACCAGCACAGAACCTCCAACCCCTGCCTCCATCCCACCACCGCTCTCCACCAGAAGCATCCCTCCCTAGAAGGGCGTGGAGCCAACGAAGTTGCCAGGAGGGGAGTAGTCGCACACCCACATGCCTCCCCCATCAGGGCACTGCGCGGAGGCGCAGCCCACGTGCGTGGTGTCGCGCCACACCACCTGCGTGTAGTGCCCGCACATCCTGCCGTCCGCACACCCCTCGGGCACGGGGCTGTACGTCCAGTCCGCCTTCTCCTCCACCCACGACTGCACCGCCATGCGATCCTCCTCAGGGGTCAGCCCCGTGGGTGCGCGCCAGTACAGGTTCTGCCCGAGCCCCTCCGCCCCTCCGTGCTCCAGAGGGCACCCCCTGGAGGCCAGGTTGTTGGCCCACTCCGCCGCTGCCGCTGCCACCCCGTCGTCCCACGCCAGGTCCGCCACCCCCACCTCCTGCCGCGCCCTGTTGTGCTCCTCCAGGATCGCCCCCACGTCCATGCCGCCGCCCCCACCGCCGCTGCTGCCATCCCCAGTGCCATCGCAGTCGGTGTAGTCCCTGCCATTGCTCGCACCAGCGCCAGCCCCTTCGTAGTCCCCACTGCTCAAGTCACCATTTCCAGAGGGGTGCGCGAGGCGCGGATCCGCGGCACCATGGCGGCTGGCGCTGCTCGTCGGCAGCAAGGCTGCGGCGCCATCGCCGTGCCCCCTGTGAATCGCCACGTCTTCGTCCGACGCCACGTGAATCCCCGACATGCCGTGCTGCGCCTGGTTGTTCTCGCTGTGCACCTTGAAGCCGCCGTTGCGGTTGCTGCCAGGAGTGCCGCGGCCCTGCTTGGGTGCTGCCCACCTGCCGCTTCCGGAGCCACGCGGGGAGTTGTGGTGGCGAATCGCCACGTCAGCGCTGCTCGTGACGCGGAATGCGCCGCTGGGACGGACGTGGGGCGCCGCCCGCTCGTTGGTTCCGCGCTTGTGGTGCTGCGCTGTGACTGGGCCAGAGCGACTCGGATGCTGGTTTCCAGCTGGCGTCCACGTGTTCGCAGCGCGGCGCTGCTGCCAGTGGTTGCCGCCAACTGTTTGGACACGGGTCCCAGGGACGTGCTTCTCAGCCTTGGAGTTGCCGTGACGTGCGTTGACCTCGGGCGTACCACTGGCGCTAGAGGCCTTCCACGAGACTGCATCATTGGGAGCGGATGACTCATCTGACGGGGTGGCTTTGCCGCTGACCAGGCCGCGACGGGTGGCGGGTTGCGCCGTACAAGCGCCGATGATGAGGAAGAGAACCACCGGGAGCAGTCTGAGCCGTCGATTTTCCATGGAGAAGTCGAGGAGGTTCAACTCGAGAACAAGATTGGCGGCTATGCTCGTATCGTAACCAAGGAAGAGAAGTGATTTGTTGAATTGTGGTTATGGAAACTGCTGGCCGCGAATTTGTACAATTTCTGCCATCAATGTTGTGGTCCGAAATGCGGCTCGGGTTTGCGCATTGCGAAGCTGTGACGAACGCGGTGACGAAATTCGAGTGCCGTGAGATAGACGGGGAGGAGGGCCGAAGCACACGGACTGTGGTTGGTCCGATCAGGTTCGTCACGTCCTTGTCCGGCATGAACGCTCTAGTGAATGATCTCATATTGTTGGAGCCACACGATTTTCTCCTTTCTTTGTGTGGAGTTTTGTATGCTTGCAAGGCCATTGACCAATCAAGCTGAACGAACCAATCATTGCTAGCTTCGTAGCCTAAATTTCATTAGGAAATCCTATATTTAATGCTTCAGATAAGCTCTTGTTTACTCGGGCTGACAGGTGCCTGTAAGTTCTCATGATTCGTTGCTAGTATGCTTGGTTTGGTGGGTGGGTCGGTCCATTGTGCCTTGAGAATTTGTGCTATGGTGCCTCCTAATCAGGCCCTCAGATTGCGGAATGGTTGTTCGTACCAAGTATTACCATCTACAATCAGGCAAGGTAGGGCTTTGGGAGGAGTGTTGAATAGTCCAACTCGTCCAGCACTGCAGCTCCTTAGTGCCTTTTAGAGCTGTGTGTTGCCACTTTTGTTGCCATATGTGGAAAAGTGTGTTAAACTTATATATTGAGTTATATAATTGTTAGGCTTGGTAGGTTACCGAACTTTACTGTAGAGGGTACAATCCCTTCCTTGTATGCCTCTCTCTTTCTATTCCAACCCCCTTTTCTCTCCTCAACTTTTCTCCTTCCTAAACCTCACGCCACTCCATGGCTCCTCCTAGCTAAACCTCATGCCTTTCCTAGCTTCCTAGCTCTTGGGCTGAGAAAAGCCCTTAGGATCTTTGACAGACTAAGTCCCAGTTGTACGAGATACTTGAGTAGTGCAACGGAAGTTGAGTAGTTGAACCCTTGCACTAGTATGTGAGAGCAAGTGATTGATTAATGGAAGCAAGCATACAGCAATATATAGAAAATAGGAAAGTAAGTAGTTGTAGAATACAGTTGAAGGAACGGTTATCGAGTCGCACAGCGACTCGATGGTTGATTCGGTTACCACTCTTGCAGTTGTAACTGTCAGTCGCAACCTCTGGTTGCGACCCTTCGAGTCTTTCGTCCTTTCGTGTTCTTTCGTCCAACCTCATCGTGTAACCTCCGTTGACTCGCATACTCGATACGGCTTCACTCGAGTGTGGTGTTACACTTTAGAAACGCTTAAGTCCTTGAGGTATTTCCAATACCCCCCTTCGTTTCTGGAGTGTTGACGTGTCCAGATTCGGTGACGTTTATCTGCCCGGTCAGCAGCATGTAGTAATCGAACTTTGCCTTCGCCAGTTTCTTCGTCAGGTAGTCCGCGACCATTTCTGTCGTGGGGCAGGAACTGAGTTGGAGTCTCCCTTTCGCGATTTCATCTTTGACGAAAAAGTACCGCAGGGCGATGTGCTTGGTTCGGTTGGCGAAGCCGTCCTTGTTCGCGATTTTGATCGCAGATTGGTTGTCGCAGAGGAGTGAGAAGACGGGCAGGGTCGCAATCTTTGCTTCCTCGAGCAACTCTCGCAGGTAAAGTCCTTCCTTGGTCGCAGTGCAGAGGGCGATATATTTTGCTTCAGCCGAAGATAGTGCGATTAGTTCCTGCTTGCTCGACTGCCAGGAGATAGTCCCGATAGGCTCTAGTCGGTAGATGTAGCCCGTCCTTGATCGTCGATTTTCCCTGTCTCCCGCGTGATCGGCATCGACGTATCCGAGCAGTTGTACGGACGATGTCGTTGCTTTTCTGTAGGCAAGTCCGGTCGTCGGCGTAGAGACGAAGTAGAGCAGTGCCCGATTTAGCTCATCGAGGTCCTCTTGTTCCGGCTGCTTCAGATGTGTTGCTAGTTGGCTCGCGCTGTAAGATAGATCCGGTCGGCAAGTTACTGCTACGAATAGTAGGCAGCCGAGCTTCTGCTAATACTCCTGGATTTGCTCCGCGGGGAGTTTTGCGGAGGTGTCGTTGTTGTTCCCGTAGCGGTAGGGGGTTGCGACTGCAGTTGGCGTTAGTCCGAATTTCTTTGCGACACCGCCTGCGTATTTTCCAGCGTGTAGGTAGAACGCCGAGTCGTCTTCGGCGACGTTCAGACCTAGATACTGGCTCACGGTGTCTGACACCGTAAGTGTTAATTCGCTCTTCAGTTCCCCTTCGAACCAAGTGACGATATTGGTAGTGGAGCCGACGTAGAGTAGATCATCGACGTAGACGATGAGTAGGACGAAGTCCCCCCCCTTTTGTAGTCGGTACATTCCTTGGTCGTGCGGCAGCTGCAGGAAGCCGATTTTGACGAGGCGGCAGTGAAGGTGCTGCTGCCAGAGCCGTGGGGCTTGTTTGATTCCGTAGAGGGATTTTACAAGCTGGCAAATTTTTGTGGGATCGTCGATGAATCCATGGGGTTGCTCGACGAAGATTTCGGCGTCCACAGGTGCATACAGGAAGGCGTTGGCGACATCGATCTGGCGTAGTGGTAACTTTTTCGTGGCCGCGACAGCGAGCAAGATGCGTAGGGAGGTGTGTCGGGAGACTGGGGCGAATGTCTCCGTGTAGTCGGTTCCATATCGCTGGTCGAATCCTCGTACGACCCAGCGAGCTTTGAAGCGGTCGATGGAGCCATCCGCATTGGTCTTGATGCGGTACACCCATTTCCCGAAGAGTACGGTCTTCCCGTTGATGTTTGTTGCACATACCAGCTTCCACATGTTTCGGTCTTGCAGAGCTTTCAGTTCTTTTTCCATTGCCTCCTTCCATTTCGCCTTATGTTCCCCCCCCAGAGCCTGCGACAGAGTCGTTGGCTCGCGCGGAGACGGCGGCGGCGGGTGCTGGACGGAGACCCATAATCCAAGTATCTGCAAGCCCGTGGGTGAGTGTCGAGGGGAATTTTCTTTCCCGGGATAAGCTGCTTCGTCGCCATCTTCGGGATCAGGCAAGAAATTTGGTCCGATGCGTTCTGAGACATTCGTGTCCACTGGTTGAGGTGTAACGTAACCTTGGTCAGCGAAGTGGTAATAGGTGTCGAGGTTGTTACTATCGAGAGGATTGTCGTCGTTGAGGGGAACCGGCACGGAGCAGTAAAGGAGTGGTCCGGCAGTTTCTGAGGCTTCAGTTACGTCTTCTTCTGCTGCGTCAGCTTCGGCAGCACGATCGGCGAAGGAGCGAAGGCCCGCGAAGCCATCAGTGGGGTCGTCTGTGTTGGCGACGTTGTCCAAGTAATGCTGCAGCGTCAGTCGCTCGTAGAAAATCACATCACGTGATGCCACGGTATTTTTGTCTTGTATGTCGAGGAGTTTCCATGCTTGGAAATGTTTGGCGATGCCGAGGTGTAGTCCCCACCGTGCTCGCTGAGTGAAGCGTCCTGCTCGAGCTGTGTGGGGTCTGTACTGTACCATGCAGCCAAAAACCCGATGTAATTTTGTGCTGCCCCTTTTTCGTGTCCACAGCAGGTGCGGTGATGCGTTGTTGGGAAGTGAGGACGAGGACAACAAATTGTGCACATTGACTGCATGCGTCATCGCGTCTGGCCACAGTGTGTTGGGCAGTCTCATCCCCAGGAGCAGCTTTCGCATCGTCGTCTGCAGGGTCCGGTTCATTCTTTCTGCAACCCCCTGTTGCTGGTGAGCGTAGGGCAGAGATACCAGGCGTCTGATTCCTCTCTCTGCCAAGAAGTTCCTGAATCGTTGTGACTGGTATTCCAGTGCCCCATCTGACTGAAAACATTTTAGTTGAGTGCCTGATTCCCGTTCAGCGATGGGGAGCCACGTTGTGAAGGCTTCGAATGCTTGATCTCGTGTCTTGAGGCTGTAGTGCCAGACGTATCTTGTTGCTGCATCGATGAACGTGATGACGTAGTTGAAGTCGGCTTCACTGTTGTCTCGAGGCATGTTTAAGATGTCGCTGTAAACTTTTTCCATGATTGCGTATGCAGGTGCGCTTGGGTTGTGATGTGACGGAAAAGGTTGGTGGGGAAGATCGGCTTCGGGGCACGTGAAGCATCGTGCACGTGGTCGTCGAAGTTCTTGTCCGCTCGTTGTAAGAAGAGCGTTTCTTTCTAACACTTCGGCTTGGATGGTTTGTAGTACTGTGCTGTTTGCAGAATGCCCGAGGCGTTGATGCCAGATGTCGTCGGGAGCGCGTTGGCCGGGCGAGCGTTGGTACATGTCGGCGTTGGAGAAGAACGCGACGACCGTGGCGGGACTTCGGCAGACTTCTCGTGTGATGGGCATAAGTTGATCTGCTTCGGTTGGCGGTCCTCGGATTGTTGGTGATGGTACTCGGCTGGGTCTTGCTGCTGCTACTGCAAGTGATGTCGGGGAAGGGACGCTTGTTGGTACTTGTCTTTCTTGTCGAATGACTGCTAACGCTCGTGTTCTCTCAGCTGCAGGTATGGTGTTGGAGTACCAGAATCCATCTGGGGTGAAGTCGGGGTCAAGATCCGGCGGGTGTGTCCAGGCGGCGAACGACACGATGCCATCGCTGTTGGCAGTACCACGGTCGGGGACGAAATCCAACACGAAGACACCTGACTTCAGGAGAGCTCGACCGATGAAGAGGCCGCCCTTCCCGTGGTAAAGACCTAATTCGTTGGCGTCGGAGTCGCATTCCAGGTGAATCCCTTTTTCCATTAGTTGGCTGACGCTTAGTAGATTGTATCCCAAGTTGTCAACGATTAGAACCTTGTTGAGTTGCAGGATGACATTTGTCTCCATGGACTGTAACTGAACCACTCCTTGTCTGTTTGTTTTCAGGTTCCCGTTGTTGGCGACGGTGATGATGACATCGCGGTTGTGGCATTGCTCTCGTTGCACGAAGCGTCCGGAAGAACACATGTGTTGGCCGCAACAGCTGTCCAAGAACCAGGTGTTTCGCTCGGTGGGTTCGGCGTTGGCGACTGCAGCGTACGTTGGGTTGACCTGAAGGCCTTGTGTTCGTGGCGGCGGCAGTTCTTCTTCGTGTGGAGCGTAAGTGGGTGGTGATCCGGGTGCGCAGTTGTCGATGCGTACCATACAATTGATGATATTCGGTGTGCCTTGTGCAGATGTGGAGGAACGCCTTGGCGGATTTTCTTTAGTGGAAGCGACTTGTGGGTCTAGTGGACGATAAACTCGGGGGCGTGTGCAGTTAACCTTGGAGTGTCCGGATGTCTGGCAGTTGTGGCAGAACGGCGGTACGATGGTGAGTCCTTTGGTGTCGTGTCGATTATGCTTGTCACGTCGATTGTAGTTGTCCTTTCTTCGTTGAGTATAGAAGACTAACGGTTGCTGCTTGTTTCTTGGTTGTCTTTCTTCAAACAGGTCCATCTCTTGTTGTTCAGCATGAAGCTCGGCGCAGAGGTGCATCTCCGAAATTCGTCCGTGGGCGCGAAGAAGCGAGCGGGTGGTTCTCCATTCTGGCCCGAGCCCGGCGAGGACAAGTGCCACGAAGCTTTCTTCAGTGATTGTACCTCCGCACCGAAGCAGGCGGTCACGGAGTGTCTGGCAGCGACTCATATACTGCATCGCCTTTTCCCCGTTTTTCATTTGTATTGTTGTCAACTGCTGCATGAGTCTGCTTTGTGTCACGCTGTCATTTGCTTGGTAGAGACACTTGAGGTGATGCCATGCGAGCTCCACGGAATTTCCGTAGCTCCGATACGTTCTGATGCTTTGTTGTTCTTGTGGTGATAGGTTCCGCAGGAGAACTGGGTACGCCAGCAACGACTGATAAGTGAAGATTTCCTGCTCCTTTGCAGTGCCATTGCTTGGAAATGGCAGGGACCAGTTGAAGTATCCCAAGAGATGCGCGGCCTCTATCAGCAGCTCGAACTCGAAGCTCCAGGTAAAAAAGTCGTGTCCGTTGAACGGTGAAGATGTCTGCAGTTTGATCACGTGTGAGAATTGCGCCTGGAGGCTTAATATCTCGTTTGGTGTTTGTTGTGATGCAGCTGCTGTTGGTTGGGCACGGGACGGCATGAACTCGAACGTCCCCGGTGAAGAGTGATAAGGCGCAAAGGTAGGCGCTTGATTGTGTCGCCCGAACGATGAGTTGTCGAGGCTCATTGGCGCTAATCCCATGTTTCCTCCGTTGCTCTGTGTTGAATGCGCAGGTGTCCTTGTCTGCTGCTGCTGGTCAAAATGTGACATGAAGCTGAAGAACCTTTCCATAAGGTTCGGGTCCACGCTTGAAGAGGGTGATGGAGTCACCATTTCTGGTGCCCTTCCTGTTGTTTCTTGAGCAGCGCCGGTCTCGGATTGCAGTCCTGAAGTGTGTAATCCAGAGTTGCTGGGTTGGGTGTCTTGGGCGCTGGGTGAGCCCGTAGAGATCTTCTTGCCCTTGTTGTCCATGACTTATAATCGATGAAGCTTGTTGAAGTGTTGACTGTAGATAGAACGTTGTTGCTGGGAGTTTGGTCTCTGACCAGCTCTCATACCATGTTGGGCTGAGAAAAGCCCTTAGGATCTTTCAGAGACTAAGTTCCAGTTGTACGAGATACTTGAGTAGTGCAGCGGAAGTTGAGTAGTTGAACCCTTGCACTAGTATGTGAGAGCAAGTGATTGATTAAAGGAAACAAGCATACAGCAATATATAGAAAATAGGAAAGTAAAGCAGTTGTAGAATACAGTAGAAGGAACGGTTATCGAGTCGCACAGCGACTCGATGGTTGATTCGGTTACCACTCTTGCAGTTGTAACTGTCAGTCGCAACCTCCGGTTGCGACCCTTCGAGTCTTTCGTCCTTTCGTGTTCTTTCGTCCAACCTCCTCGTGTAACCTCCGTTGACTCGCATACTCGATACGGCTTCACTCGAGTGTGGTGTTACACTTCAGAAACGCTCAAGTCCTTGAGGTATTTCCAACACTAGCTAAGGTAGCCTTTTAACATGGTACTAGAGCAGGAGTTCCTCCCTGCTGGACCGCCTCCTCACGCTTCCACCGCGTACTCCTTGCCCTCGTTCGCTCGCGCGGCCATGTCGGCCGCGTTGTGCTGAAGTGGCGGCGTCGTGATGCCGCTGGCCGCGTCGTGCCGCTGCCGTCTCGACGCGCTGCCGTGGCGTCAGGCCGCCGTGCTGCCGTCGTAGAGTCGACGTCCCGCAGCAGCGTCGACGCCACTCTGTCGGCGGCGTCGGCCTGCAACCGGCCGCGCGATGCCTGTGGTGATGCTAAACTGCCCACCCGCACGCCAGCCGGCCGCGCGACGCCTGTGGCACCGCGCTGAAGATCCGAAGCACCGCCCCTTCCCCCTTTCCTCTGTCCCCTCCTCTTCGCCACAGCCGCCGCCTGACTCTCACCGGTCGTCCCCCTGTCGCGGAGTTTGGACACGCCGCCGGAAGGGCGGGGGCCGCTGCACTCACCACCGTCGTAAGCCGAAGCCGTCGCCGCTGTCGTCGCCGCAGGCCTTTCGCCGCCGCACGCCCATCGTCGCCGTCGCTGTCGCCGCGGCCGGGACTGCCGCTGTCGCCATCTCCAAGGCCTTGTGGGCCCTGTTGGAGTCGTTGTGGCTGATGGGAATGGGGGGGCTAGGTTAGGGGGTGTGGGGGTGTGTGTGGGCTTGTGACTACCAAGCCTAGGGGGTGTGTTAAAATTATATATTGAGTTATATAATTGTTAGGCTTGGTAGGTTTCCGAACTTTACTGTAGAGGGTACAATCCTCTCCTTGTATGCCTCTCTCTTTCTATTCCAACCCCCTTTTCTCTCCTCAACTTCTCTCCTTCCTAAACCTCACGCCACTCCATGGCTCCTCCTAGCTAAACCTCATGCCTTTCCTAGCTTCCTAGCTAAGCTAGCCTTTTAACAAAGTGCACTCTCTTGTCACCCAATGTATGCCTTGTTCAAGCATAGTGGCTTTCAAGCATCAGTCTCCTGCACATGGTTCAGTAATGCATTCCTGGCAATCAACAGAAGTTCCGTCACGCACCTTAGCTATAAACCCACACATACTAACACACTCTCAGAACACGTCTGAGCCAAACAATTCCATCATGTCATCCGCCACGCCCTCAAGGGTGTCGAAGGTCTGCAGGTCCCCTGCCGCCCCGCCGCCTGTGCCCTCACAAGTGTACGCTTGTCCCACCCTCTCCGTGCACATGCCTGTCTCCACAGCACCACCACTCCCCCCACCAGTAGCAGCTTTTATCACTGGAACAACATTGCCTTCCTCTTCCTCGATTTCCTCCTCCTCTTTGCACCGTCCCGTCCCTTCTCTGCCGTGTTGTGCTCCCTGCTTACTTGCAAGCCCCTTGCTGCCAGCACGCGCCTCTACGATGGTCTTCTCTGTGCCGCCTTCGAACCCTGTTTTCTCGTGGTACACAAATGTGACCCCCTCGCACATACCAGTCACTTCTCTCAAGGGATCATCTGCAATGCCAGCCGCCAGTCTCCCTCCCCCACTGCTCATCGCGGCTACAACAGCAGCAGAGCTAGAGGTGGCGCTGCCAGTGATGGTGGATCCAGCAGCAGCAGCATCCGTGGTGGCAGCAGCGAGCCATTTGGCCGAGAGGGGAGAGTTGGAGCGAAGCAGCAGGTCCAAAGTGTCACAGGCAGTGGCCTGCAGCATGTGGCATCAGGAGAGAACCGTAGATGAGTGGTGCAGGAGGAGCGTCCTCACATGAGGTGCTTCAATGTTAGGTACGAGAGCAACATGCATTCACATAACACAGCAGAGAGTTCACTCTCTACCTGAACACCCAATGGGATTGCCACATCATTCCTTTAAAATAATCCAATCCTGCCATGCCAGCTTGCAACCGGCCTCCCACCCCCTCTTGTCAAGGGAACACGGCAGAGACGATTTTTGAGGCGCCTCAAAAATCACTCACCTGCTCCAGAGTGAAGAGCTCGCGCAGCTCCTCCTTGGTGAAGTGACCCGCCCCTCCCTTGCTGCTGCTGCTGCTGCTGCTGCTGCTGCTGCCTCCACTTCTCCCACTGGCACCGCTGGCACAGCCCTGCTGAGTGCTGCCGTCGCCCACCGCACTGGCCACCTCGCCCTTCATCAGCTGCCGCTGAAAGATCTTCTCCTCTATGCTGCCAGGGAGGGAGGGAGCAGTGGGCGCAGGGTGGGCTCAGAGATGCATCTTTCGCAACGAGTTCTGCCCTGCCCATAGCTAGGACGCGGCAGATCACCACAGGCTTGCTCTGTTTTCAGGCGGCTAAGAAAACCTCCCCCTACTGCCCACACTGCCCCTCACCCACTGCTCAGATGTCCCTCACCGGCCCTCTTCGCCTCTCACCTGCCCGTGGCCAGCAGGCGGTAGATCACCACAGGCTTGCTCTGCCCGTCCCTCCATACTCGCGCCATGGCCTGCAGGGAGGTGGGGTTACAAGGGACATGCGAGGATGTGTGCATGTATGCCCGTTCCAATGTGTGTGTCTGAGTGTGTGTGTGTGTGTGTGTGTGTGTGTGTGTCAGCCAACCGTGCATCACCTCTCCCTCCCTCCACCTGTTTGTCATCAGCAGGCTTCCAGTCGGGGTCAAAGAGCACCAGTCGGTAGGCATTATCAGCTATTATCCCGCCTTTCCGCCTCACGAGCACCCTGACCCTCCCCCACCTGATTGTCATTGGCAGGGCTCCAGTTGGGGTCAACGCGCACCAGCCCTTTGGCCCAACCCAGCACACTCCCACCAACTTTATTTGCCATCAGTGCATCGCCTCCCTCTCAACCCCACCTGTTTGTCATTGGAAGGGTTCCAGCCGGGGTCAAAAAGCGCCCGGCAGTTGGCATATCCCACTGCCGCTAACAGTGTACCAACAATTCAACACCTCCCTCCCCCTCCACCCCACCTGTTGGTCGTTAGTAGGGTTCCAGTCAGGGTCAAAGAGCGCCAGTCAGATGGCATAAGCCACTGCCGCTAACGCTGTTAGCCACAGTCAGTTGGCATCACCTTTCCCCCTCCCCTTCCCCCCCACCTGTTGGTCGTTAGCAGGGTTCCAGTCAGGGTCAAAGAGCGCCAGTCAGATGGCATAAGCCACTGCCGCTAACGCTGTTAGCCACAGTCGGTTGGCATCAACTTTCCTCCTCCCCTCCCCCCCACCTGTTTGTCATTGGCAGGGTTCCAGTCGGGGTCGAAGAGCACGAGGCGGTTGGCGCCCACGAGGTTGAGGCCAGCGCCGCCCGCCTTTGACGAGAGCAGGAAGCAGCGGCTGCCGTCCCGCCCCGCGTTGAACGCACACACCAGCGCCTGCCGCGTCGCTGCCTCCGTGCTGCCATCCAGACGCGTGGTCTTCCACCCGTGGGACGCGCACATGGCCTGGTGGGGCGAGTTGAGAGGGCGGGAGGGCGGGAGGGCGGGAGAGACGGTGCGAGGGAGGACACCGAGGAAACGATGCCAGGAGGAGGTGCAGGCACACTTCTAATCCAATAATTGCATGCACGCTCTCACCTCTCCTCCATGACACCTGAGCTGGTACTGGAAAAGGATTCTCACCTCGATCACATCAAGCGCCCGTGTGAAATTCGACACTATCACCACTTTATCCCCACTGCCACCACCACCGCCACCGCCACCACTGTCCTGAACGCGGCTGTTACTGATACCATCAGTAACACTAGACTCGGCACTCCCCTCGCTCCCCCTCGCCCCTGCCTTCTCCCCGAACACTGCACGCAGTAGCATGGCCAGCACGTGCAGCTTGCCGCTCAGGCGCCACACATCGGGCCCCAGGGCTTTAAGGGCCGCAGCAGAGGCTGCTGCTGCTGCTGTGCGCGAGAGAGGCGCGCCTGGGGCGGATGGGGACGGCTGGGGGAGCATGGATGGGCGCCTGGGGGGAGAGGGCGGAGGAGGAGGAAGGAGGGAGAGGGAAACAGGGATATTGCTTGTGGGAGGGATGCACCAGAGGAAGGCATGCTTGTACTACCCTGACCCGAAACCATAACATGCTTGTGACGCCATACACAAGAAATACTGCAAGAACTCCCATCGGCCTCCTGGGATCTGTTTACCTGAAGCCACCATGTTTCTGCCCTGCCTGGTTCCTGCCACCCGTTCCTCCCACCTCTCCGCCCTCTGCTGCCCCCTCCTCGGTTTCCTCCTCCACATCCTCCTCTTCTCCCACCATCCCCTCAGCCCACTGCCCCTCATCTCCCCCCTCCTCCTCCTCCACATCACCAGAGCCAGCAGAGGCCGAGGCAGCAGGCGAGGGGGAGCGGGTGCGGCGGGCAGCGGGAGTGGAAGACATGGGAGTGGCGGCGAGGGCGGGGTGCAGGCAGAGCTTCCTAAGGTGGCAGATGGCCGTCAGGGCGCTGGCTGTGGTGGTGCCAACGGTGGAATAGAGTAGAGAGCGCACGTGCTGCAGGGGGTTTAGGGGGGGGAGGTGGGGGGTGGGGGAGAATGGGGTCGTCGTTGGAAAGAAAAAGGAGGAGAGAGGAAAATAGGGGAGGGTATGATAGCAGAGGTGGTGGGGATGTGGAAAATAATAAAAGAGAGGAAGAATCATCTTTGCGGAGGTACCGAACGGAGGTCAGGGCAGCGCACAATTGAATCCATGCATAGGTACCATTAGCTGGCAAGCAAGCAGATTCCAGCAATATAAAACGTGGAAGTGTAGAGCTGTCCATGGACCATAAGACAGACTGGACATACCGTTGACTGCAGGAATTCAGAGTACTTGTGTGCCTGCTGCGGATGCAGTCGACAGAAGACAATGTACCTGATGGGAGAGACGGGAGATGAGGGGAGGGAAATATATTAGAGCTCAAAGACCGTGGGGATGGTCCAACTGCAACATAGAGTGTTTCAGCACAATGGGGAGAGAGCAGGCGAGACGGAGAGAAGCAGCGCTGACTCAGATTTGGGCGGCAGGTACGCGGCATTGACAGCAGCCGTGCGCCTGAGCACAAACGCCGCTGCTTTGGCCTGCAGCTCCTGCGACCGAGCCTCCCCCAGCCGCACCTCCTCCTCTCTGCACGCGTGTGAGCGTGGGGGAGCAAGGGAGCGAGGGAGGGAAGGAGAGACACAGAGGATAGTAGGAAGTTAGACTAATAAATGGTGTCAGAAAAGATGCAACATGCTGCAATGCAGAGTCAGACCACATGCAATCAATCATCCCACTGTGGTGCCGCGCCACGGTCCTTTAACCGCAACCCTTATCACTCACGTGGCGCTGCGGTCGCGGCTTCTCTGGATGGGGTCAGCGAAGATGCGGCGGAAGGCGGGCAGCGGGCCAAGGCACCCCGGGTTCACCAGGTCCAGCAGAGCAAAGAACTCGTTCAGATCGTTCTGGATGGGCGTGCCCGTCTGGGGGGAGGGGAGAACGGGCAAGGGGGAGGGGTGAGGGGGAGGGTTGAGGGAGAAACGAACAGGAGTGTATCTCAATGATGAACGGGCGGTTCAGTCCAACACGATATGGATAAGCAGGAAATCATTAGAATCGCTCTGGAGGAGCGTGACGTTCTGAGCGACAGAAAAGAGTGAGGCTGTGACAATGTTAGAACGAAGTTTGGGAGGGACGAGTGAGGCTGTGACAATGTTAGAACGAAGTTTGGGAGGGACGAGTGGGGCTGTGACAATGTTAGAACGAAGTTTGGGAGGGACGAGTGAGGCTGTGACAATGTTAGAACGAAGTTTGGGAGGGACGAGTGAGGCTGTGACAATGTTAGAACGAAGTTTGGGAGGGACGAGTGAGGCTGTGACAATGTTAGAACGAAGTTCGGGAGGGACGAGTGAGGCTGTGAGAAGCCTGGGTTCGCAAGAAGAAACGAGTGAGGCTGTGACAAGGTTAGAAGGGTTGGAGGAAACCGGGACGTGAGTGTGTGGTGAGGGGGGCAGAGGTACGATAGGACACACGAGTCAAACGCATGACCACTTCAGCTCACCAGCAGCACTTTGCGAGGGCACCCCAGTTGTTGCAGTGCGGTGATGGTCTTGTTGCCCGCACTGCAAGCGCAGGAGCGACCAAGGGAGAGGTGGTTCGCAGGGGGAGGAAGAGATGAGAAAAGCTGAAGGCAGCAGCAGCAACCCATCAACCCAACACCACCTCTCAACATTTTAATAATTCCTTCACCAGTACTTCAGCCAGAGCCCCTCGTCTCACAGCAGCAGCCCTTGAGGTCACGACATCACTCTCCCTTGCTACCCCCATAGACGCTCCTCACCAGTTCTTGAGCCGGTGCCCCTCATCGCACACGAGCAGCTGCGGGGCGGCAGCGGCGAGGAGGGCGGCGTGGCGGCGGAGCAGGTCGTAGGAGGTGATGAGCACGGGCCACACGACGCCGTGCTTGAAGTCTGCTATCTTGCCCTTCACCTGGAGGCACAGCAATCGGGTGCATGAAGGGGCTTGGGGCGTGATGGGTACAGGCCACACCATGCCATGCCGTGCTTGAAGTCTGCTATCTTGCCCTTCGCCTGGAGGCACAGTGCGGTGGATGGGTAGAGGCATGTTGAGGCGCCTCGGAATCTGAGACCTTGCGCTTCACCCTACATGCAGGGGTGCGGTGGATGGCTGCATGGGAAAGCACACGAGAGTCCTCCCGGGGTCGTTGGACGTGACGAGCATGGGCCACACCACACCACGCCGTGCAGCCGTAGCTAAAGGAGGGTCATGGCGTATCTGCAACAGAGGAATCTGCAATATCCGCCCTCCAGTACGCACCTCCACTCCACGGTACACCTGCTCACTCACGTGTCTCTCCTCTTCACGCTCCTGCCTCTGTAAAGCAGAGACTTCTTTTGAGGCGCCTCAAAAGTAGTCGCACGTGTCTCTCCTCTCCACGCTCCTGCCTCTGTAAAGCAGAGCTGGAGACTGAAACTGAGGCTTTCCAAAAATCTGCATGGAGCATCTGCATACTGCCATCCTTCAATTCGCACCCCTTCCTTCACCCTCAATCCCCTCCCACTCCTTCTTCCAATCCCACCCCCCTCCCCACCACCTCCCCCACCCCCTCCCCCACGCCACTCACTGGCATCCCCTCCATGTAGCGGCTTAAAACCTTCGAGAAGTCTGAAACCCTGACGCCCACAATGTGCCCAACCTCAGCAGCAGTTGGCGCTTCAAGCTCTGCTGTCTGTCCCCGCCACCTGACCCCCCTCTGGCCCTCTGGCCCTCGCGGGCGGACATACCTCAGTGGGAGTGAAGCTGGAGTTGACCACCAGCGCCTTGAGCCTCTCCGTGCCCAGCCACTTGCGGAACTGACGATGAAGTGGCACGGGGTGGTGGTTGGGGGGGGGAGAGGAGGGCATAATAGGGAGGGTGAGAAGTCGAGGTGAGATGGGGGGTGGGGGTTTGAGGTTGCCAAACCATGTTCCATCCACCGTTAGTCATTTTCAGTTTCCAAGCAAGTCAGGGCAGCTCACGAGTGCAGGTGGACTTGAGAAACACCACCTCAGCCTCAGCCTTCTGCACAGCCTTCTGCACAGCCTTCTGCACAGCCTTGTGCACAGCTTTTTGCCCAATCTTGTGCCGCACAGCCAACTACAGCACACGTCACACGACCTTGAACTTCCCTTGGCCACCACTCCAACCAAGGACAAAGGGTACCACGCCTCGCCCTTGTGGCTAGCTATGCAGCGCGCCTCACATTTGTGTTGCGCGTACCTCGGCCCCCCAGTTGTCGACCAGCGAGGACGGGCACACCACCACTGCCTTGCGCAGGAAAGGGCGGCCCTGAGGGCCCTGCGGATGGGGATTGGAAGGGGAAGGGGGAGGAGAGCATGGTATGAGAGGACAAGGATTGGGGTCACTTGCAACACCGGTCAAGGGAGGACGGGCACACCACCACCGCCTTGGGCAGGAAAGGGCGGCCCTGAGGGCCCTGTGGATGGGGATGGAGAAAGGGCGGGAAAGGGGGCAGAGCAGGGGGAAAGGGCAGGAGGAAGATGCAGCCCGGAACAAAGGTTACTCTCGTGTGCTCAGAAGCCCTGATAGGTGATGGGCATGGCCAACGCCACTGGTTCCTCGAAACCAGTGACAATGCCGGGCGTACTGCAGAGCGCCTGCAGGGGGCCAGTGTGAAGGGCTTGCGTGGAGGGAGAAAGCACACAAAGCAGGCACGCCTACGGCGCCTTGGGGCTGAGGAAAAACGAAGCGGCAGACCAGAAGGAGGGAGACGGAAACGGACCGGGTAATGCTATGCTAGTAGCGAAGGCAGGCGGGGTGGGGAAACATGAGAAGGGGTTTGGAAGAGAACAGGCGAGTGAGAGAAAAGGAGAGAAGCGAAACGTGCCTGTTTGAGAAGTGTCCAGATGAGAGCTATGACTTGAAGAGTCTTGCCAAGGCCTGTGCGGGGAGAGAGACAGGAGACGATGCAGAGAGCGCACGGTTACAGTTGGGAGGCTCTACAACCGTGCAGGAAACACCAGAGGGGGGAGCACACAACCCAATGTGTCAGCTATTCTACTCCATCACCCCATCTCCCGTGTCAACTTTCCCCGCCCCGCCTCACCCATTTCGTCTGCCAGCACGCATCCGGAGCAGCCGGGCACGCGCACCTCGAGCACACTCTCCAGCATGAAGCGCACGCCCTCCACCTGATGCGGTCGCATGCGCGTGCCGACGTACTGCCAGGGAGGGGAGGAGGGAGGGATGCGGGGGAGGGAAGGAGGGAGGGAAGGAAGGAGGGAGGGAGGGAGGGAGGGGAGAAAGAGGTTAGAGGGTCACCTGGATGAATGGCACAGCCTCCACCTCAAGGGGCCTCATGAAAGCACTCATGTACTGGGAGGGAGGGACAGGCAATAAGGAGAGGGAAGACGAAAGGGCGCATACGAATACGAGTAATTTACACATATACGGTATCAGCTGCATAGTTTGCCACAATCACAACGGAAGTGGTTCGCAGCCTAGTGCCGTAAGCAGATTGGATCGCGATTGACGAGATGCGCGCTGATTGAGCATGATCATTGTGGCGCTGATTCTGGAGAAGAAGATAGGCTTGGGGGGAGAAGAGATAGGCTAAGAGGGAGAAGAACACAAGCGTACAGGGTCAAGATAGATCTTGGTGATTCCCGTTCCGTTCTGGGTTGGGTTGAGACGCAATGCATCCTGCACGACACATCACCGCAGAGCAAGTAACGGAAAGAAGGAAAATCCCGGACAATCCAGCCGTAGCAGTAAGGCAAGAGAACGCAAGAGCCAGAGGCGGAACACAGAGAGGAAAATGTGTTGCAAAGCATGGTACAACTCAAAATCATAATCCATTGCCATATCATACCCCATTGCCACAACATACCCCATTGCCACATCATACGCCAATGCCACATCATACCCCAGTGCCACATCATACCCCATTGCCACATCATACGCCAATGCCACATCATACCCCAGCGCCACAACATACCCCATTGCCACATCATACGCCAATGCCACATCATACCCCAGTGCCACATCATACCCCATTGCCACATCATACCCGTGCCACATCATACCCCATTGCCATATCATACGCCAATGCCACATCATACCCCATTGCCACATCATACCCCATTGCCACATCATACCCCATTGCCTTGCCACGACACTCCACTGCCATACCTCGTTGCCTAGCCGCAAGCGACTTTCCATGCTGGCTGCTCTCCTGATGGGTCCGCACGAGGGGAGGGAGAAAGAGCACGGCATACAGCACAGCTCGAACCCCGCCAGCCATGCAACCAATCGACTTGCAAGAATTTGCGTTGCACGTGAGAGGGCGGACGGGTACGAAAGGAGTGAGGCCTGCCAATGAGCTGCGCCGTCAAGGTCAAGTCAAACAGTAGATGCAATTGCAGCACCACAGCATCTGATTCATAATCCCCATCCACACAACCTCGCACATCCTCTCCCTCTCACGTCCCCTCTCTCTCACATCTCCGCCCTCGTCTCGTCTACACTGTCCAATCTCTCCACCTTGCTTACAGCTTCACCTTACCCCTCTCCAGACCTCTGAAGGTCTCGCCACTCGCTCTACTCCCAAGGTCATCCCTGCAACAATCACAGCCCCCCACATGGGCTCCCCCGAACCCCCCAACAGCTCCTCTCCACACTCACTTGTTCGCCGCCACCCCCTCGCCAGGGTTCCCACCACTCCTTCCACTGCTCTCTGCAGCCCGCTTCCTGTCCTTGCCAGCAGAATAGCCCATTCGAGAGGTGGCTGCGGGAGGCTGGGTCGCAGCCGCGGCAGCAGCGGTGGCGGGGATGAAGAAGGAGCCGGCGAGGAACTGCTCCCGGGGCACCTCACTCATCACCTCCAACTCGAATTTGCCCACCTGGTGGGAGGAGGGAGGGGAGAAGGGCGGGGGGAAGAGGGGAAGGTAAAACAGGGAGGCTGGGCCGGACAGCGAAGCGGATCAAGAAGCATTGAAATCGGAAGCAGTCAGATTCGATTCCCAAATGCGAACTTGCTTGCACGTAGGACGAATGTGGAGACAGTATGAACAGACGAGCTCGGTCGCGAGCCGATCCAAGAAGGAAGTCCGAATTCGTGACGCCCAGGTGTAACCATACGAACTGCTCGCTCGTCATTATGAAGAAAACACTATAGACGTCAAAGAAATGCATGACTCATGACTCATGAGTCGTTCGCATTCGCAGCGGCTAAGAGAACAGGCGGCACCTCGAGCGTGGAGCCCTCTTTGAGGTCCTTGCACCCGCTGACGAGCGCCTTGGACACGCTCTTGGCGTCCATGTTCTGCAGCGCGCACGCGCGCCCCTTCACGCTCAGCAGCCCGTCCGACCACGGGCCCTTGCGCTTCGCGTTCGGCTTCCGCGGGCAGTACATCACGCTGTAGTACCGCGTCTCGTCCGCTTCCGCCGCCGCCTGTGATTTAGCGTTATATGTCAGCGCAGTGGCCGTCGAAGGCGGGTTGAAACGATGCCGGGCATTCGCCGCGGAGCCGGGAGCAGGGTGCAGCGGCTGTCGCGGCGGCGCGGGGCTGGAGGGGTTGTGCAGGTGCAGCTGCTTGAACGGCTTTCGCTGGAAAGAAACAGGAGCGGCGTGGGTGGGAGTCTCCGTTCCGGCATCGTCGTCGCTTCCCATGGTGCTGCGCTATAGCGAGGATGCGAATGAACTCAGTTGCTATTCTTGATTCGCCCTGCAAGCAAGCGCGACGAAAGGCTATCCAACCTGCGGATGCTCTGCACTGAAAAACCGGTCGATTCTTGTTGGAATGGCTGAGGGAGGAGCCTGCTGGCCTGGGTTCTGAATGCCAAAAACACCGCTGACACGCTGCCTGGTTGCCCACCTAGAGACTGCCAGTGATGGCTCACACTGCGAAAACGCCAGGAGATCGGCCACCCCTACTGGGAGTTTTCTATGCTCCTCGGAAAACGGCATCTTGAACATTCAGAGTTCAGATGGTCGCTCACTACCTGTAGACTGGGTGAGTTCCTGCGATACAATGAGTGGAGAAACCGAGGAATTGGCGGGAATGGCGCGAGTCGTGTTCATGACGCTTGAAATACCGACCTGGGGTTTGCAAGGAGAGCCCATATCCTCACTAAGAGCATCACCTTCCATAAGAACGTGACTAAGCGTATCCAGTTATCGAACGTAAAGCAGTACAGTTGTAATGTATCGTTTCACCTTATTCAACCTATGGGAATCTATGCTCGTAGGTTATTTGTACCTCAAAATGGCCCTGGAAAAGAACGCTCCACATAAATGCCCCTCGATTTTCTACCGTAAATGTCAATAAGTCAATAAGGAGGCTTCCTTGTCGTCTGTCCCATGTGGCACCTTTTCCTTCATCACTCTGCAAGTGCCTCATACCAATCCCGAGTGAATCCGGCTTTCTCCCTTGCCTCGTGGTTGAATGGCGGCTTTAGCTTGCCCCGAAAGTTGGCTCGCACTATGGCATGGAACTGACCCACGATGTATGCATGCTCCTCCACACTCGCCTCCTCCTCACCAATACTCTGCTCCTCACGCTCCGCCTCATCTTTTCTCCCGGCTCCCACCTCCCCTTCCCCCCCAGCCCCATCACCCTCCACTACTCTAGCAGCAGTTGCAGTTTCTCTTGTGCTCCCCCCTTCTGCTGCTGCTGCTTCTCCTTCTGCACCTCCTCTCCCACATCCTCCACCTTCGCCTCCCTCCGCTCCCCTCCCCCCCCTGACCTCCCTGAGGCACAGGAAGGTGAACCAGCGTCTGCCAGCAGCGCAGTGGGTGATCTCCTCAGGGTACACCACGCGCTCCAGCAGCTCCGCCGTCTCACTGTCGCCCCCTGCTCTGAACCGCTCTATGGTCTGCGGCACCACGTCCAGCCCTCGCGCCTGCGGGACAGCAGGGGTGGGGGGGGAGGAGAGGGGGGGACTGGGTGGTGTTGAGTACAGTTGGGTGAGGAGGGACGGGATATACAGTAGGCGGGATGGGATATGACAGAGTGCCCTGAAATGTTATTTGAAAAGCACATTTCAGGCGCTTGATACCAATCCTAGATTCGAGATCAAGACAGGTCAACATTGGACGGACATCCTCTTTCCTCTCTCCTCTCTCCTCCACCAGCCCCCCACCCACCACCATCTTCCCCCACCCTTGCACCTCCCCTCCATCCCCCACCCAGCACCCTCATCTCTCATCCCCATCCCCTCGTCCCCCCTCCCCCTCCCCCTCCCCCTCCCCCTCCCTCCCTCACACACCTCGTGCACGCAGTGCTCTATTGCCAGCCTGGCCTTCAGGTCCCCCGCAGTAGCAGCAGCGGACTCCCACAGCCCGTCGTGTGCGGGCAGCGCGCCGTAGTTGGACCCCAGCGCCTGCAGCCGCGCGGCCAGCAGGCGGAAGTGGCGCGCCTCGTCCGCTGCCACCTGCACGAAGTCCGAGAAGAAGGTGCGCGGCATGCGCTGCGCACGGCCGAACCGCGCTATGATGTCCTGGAAGGGGGGGGGGGGGAGGGGGTGTTGGGGGGGGGTGGCAGGGGGGAGGAGGGAAAAGGGGGGTGAGTGGGGGGATGGGAGCGGGGTTTGGAGAAAATGGTGAATGAAGGGGATGATGGTGTGTGGACACGTGGCAGTCATCATGGCAAACGAACACGAGGTGGCATGCTCTGAAACAATCCCCTCCCCTCCCAGATCACGGTGCTCCCCTTCCCCCTCCCCTCCGTCCATTTACCACCTCCCCCCTCCCCTCCCATCCCATCCCTCCCTTCCCTTTCAACCCAACACAGCCCTCCCCCCTCTCTCCCCCCCCCCTCCCCCTTCCCCCTGCAGCGGGGCCATGCGCGCACCCAAGCGAGGTCGACGGCCCAGCTCTCGATGTGCACGAGGCTGTGCAGCAGCGCCAGCCGGCTCTGCTGCGACCCGCCCTTGCCCCGCCGCGGCATGTCGCGCGCCGCCACCACGCGCACCTGCATCCAGAGGAGCCAATCACACGGCGCGACACCAGGTTTCACGAAATCGTAAGATCCGGCGAGGGTTTCGGGTTTAAGAATTTGGGCGAGCAGGGACAAGGGCCGCGCGGCGAGAACGGAGGAAGAAAATGGGTGGGTAATGCAACGAGGAGACGGGTACATGGAGTGCGGAGTTCTCACGGTATCATCTCTAGCAGGGCGATCAGGCACGCTAAGCCATCGCTCCTCGTCGCTTTCCCCTACTCCCGCATCCGCCGCTCCATCCTCCCGCGTTTCCGCGCATCGGTCTTCTGTCCCGTCGCCGTTCAAGCTCTCGCACCCACGCGCATCGTCAGCAGCGTAAGCATCGCGGATGGCACCGCTGGCCCAGAGCTTGGCGGCGAGGTCGCCGTAGTCCGCCTTCCTCCACGGGTCCGCCGTGCGCAGCACCTTCACCGCCGCCGCGCACAGAGTGTCGCCCGCGCAGGGCGGAGGGGGAACTGGTGGTGGCATCTGGTGGGCGCGAGCTGTTCGAGTGGCGAGTGAGTGGAGGTTCTGGGGCCAAATGAGACGTGTGTATGAAGTGATTCAAACCGTGATGTCAAGTGACATGACGTCAGGATACCGAAGTATTTCTTTTACGAACCTTTGCGAATCTCAAGGAAACCAACTGAACCGCGTAGTGATGTAAAAAACTGACGTCTTTTGATTCACTGCGTCCAGGTTGGGAGAAAGCATAACAAGGCTGGTTATAAGATACATTCCTCGTCTGTGAAAGATTAAGGCCTAAAACACGCATACGATATCAAGCAAATTTTAGTGGTTATGAAACATAAGCCGGCCACTAAGTACCTTTTTCCATGTATTCATAAGAAAATTTGAATGTTGACAACGAGGACGAAGAACATGGTTCTTGAGTCGATCCTTCGCATCGTATCGTATGGAGGCTAGGTGTTGAGGAAAAGTTTGGAATGTGAATCGTTAGATTGTCGGCGAACTTATCGAACGGGTGAAAAAGGAGAATCCATCCAAGGGTATGAAGTGATCCAATATAGTCAGTAGGATCTTTAGGATTGAACTGCAGTAGTGCGCCTTGCGGAAACGGTTGATTGGTTCGATGAACCATGTCATAGTGAATAGTGTTGATTATAGCAAGAGGACACTGTCGAGTGACCCGCTGGGTTACCCTTAAAAAGATCCTCGGGGAAGGGCCACAGGTGCAGAGCCTGGGGGGCTATGGGCACACTTACCCGCTATTCAACAAGCCCTTTTAACCCAGTGGTTAGTGACTGGGTTTCTGACATACACAGGGTTCATATAGTGATACAGGAGAATGCGAAGGGTCTAGCTAAGATGTACTTAACAGGGGTACATTTCCTTTGAGGTTCCAGATCCGACTCAAGTAACTGTACACGACTCGGGTAACTGTTAAAATTATATAAGTTATAATTTAATATAGGCTTGGTAGGTTGTTACTGAACCTTTCTGTAGAGGGTACAAACCCCTTCTTGTACTCCTCTCTCTTCCTAATCAAACACCTTTTCTCTCGACATTCTCTCCCTTCCTAGATCCGTTTTCCTGGCGCCATTCCATGGCGGCCTTCTTCCTAGTATTCTAGCCAACCTAGCCTCCTAAGTTTAAGAACCTTGAGTCCTAAGTTTCTAAGATGGTATCAGAGCCGGTCGTGTCAACCGGACCCTCTCCCTACGTTCCCGTTGCGTACTCCTGCTGCGAATGCAGCCTTCGCGGTTTTCTGCCTGCTTGTCGTCGCGGCACCAAGATGTCGCGACGGCCCCTTGTTGCCTGCCGTCGCGGCACCAAGGTGTCGCGACGGCCCCTTGTTGCCTGCCGTCGCGGCGCCAAGGTGTCGCGACGGCCCGTTGTTGCCGGCCGTCGTGGCGCCAAGGTGTCGCGACGGCCCCTTGGTGCAGCCGTCGCCCGTCCGCCTCGCCGCTGCGGCATTGACGGTGCGCTGTGGCGGCGTCTAGGGCAGCCGCTGGCATCGTCGGACTGCGGCCGGTCGAGCGACGTCTGTGACGCAGCCGGACCTGCCGCCCGCTTGCCAGCCACGGGCGTCCCTCTGGACGCCGTCCTCCCGCCAGTAAGCGCCGCGCCATTTATGGCGCGTCGCTGAAGACTCGCCCCGCTTTCCCCCATTCTCCCTTCCCCCAGCGTCTTCCCTTCCTCCTGTCGCAGCTGCTGTCTTCTGCCCGGACGTTGCCACACCGCCGAGAGCCCTCAGCCGCGGCAGTCGCCGCCTGTCGTCAGCGACCCAACCGCCTTGAGCCAGAGCTCCGCTGCTGCTTGACGCTGACCCGCCCAGACGCCGTAGGCTGCCTCGTGTACGGGGGTGTGTCAACGCTTTGCACGAGGGTCAGATACCCGGCTAAGCACGAGCTTGAGGGTGTGCGGGGTTAGGGGGTGGGTTGGGTGGGTGTGTGACTACTAAGCCTAGGGGGTGTGTTAAAATTATATAAGTTATAATTTAATATAGGCTTGGTAGGTTGTTACTGAACCTTTCTGTAGAGGGTACAAACCCCTTCTTGTACTCCTCTCTCTTCCTAATCAAACACCTTTTCTCTCGACATTCTCTCCCTTCCTAGATCCGTTTTCCTGGCGCCATTCCATGGCGGCCTTCTTCCTAGTATTCTAGCCAACCTAGCCTCCTAAGTTTAAGAACCTTGAGTCCTAAGTTTCTAAGAGTAACTGCCTGCGCAGTATTAGATGGTCAGTTATGTGTACTTGCTGTCATGGCGGACCTTTAAAACTTCTGTCGGTTCGATTGTCGGTCAACGGTCAACGACCATTGCACTTCGTACCTCGCGTCGTAGGCGTCGACTCGACAAGGGTTATAGCTCGAGTGTTATTTTCAGTAATGTAACAATTTTTATATCGTAACACTCCCCTTCATCGCTGAAGGTGCTCCAGCATGGCGCGCTTGGAGATTCCACAGAGCTCGGCGCAGAGCAGGTACTGTTGACGTGGCAACTTCTTGGTGAGGAAAGTCAGCTACCATGTCACTAGTGGGACAATATGTCAGGTCCACTTTTCCTTTGTCGATTTCGTCCTTGACGAAAAAGTATCGCAGGGCGATGTGCTTTGTACGATTGACGAAGCCGGCCTTGTTGGCGATCTTGATTGCACTCTGGTTGTCGTAGTGTACAGTTACTTGAAGGTTGGCAAAGTGCCGATTTTCGCCTCCTGCAGCAATTTTTTAAGGTAGATTCCTTCGCGAACGGCGGAGGTTGTTGCGATGTACTTTGATTCAGCTGAGGAGAGGGCAATCAGCTCCTGTTTCTGTGAGTTCCAGGAGATGGGTCTAGTAGGCTCCAGTCGGAAGAGAAATCATGTTCGAGAGTGGCGGTTAGCGGGATATGCGACGTGGTTTGCATCGACGTAGCTAGTGAGTTCAAATGTGGGTGTGGTGATGGTGAAGTAGGTGAGGCCGATATGGGGAGTTGAAATGAGATAGAAGAGAGCTCGCTGTAGATATTTGTCCAGTGGTGTGTAGCGGTTAGGGCAGCGAGGGAGATCTTGGAATGGGTTGTGCGTGCGGGCAGCGTCGGGGCAGACTGTGCAGGTGCGTGGGGCTTGGCTTTCTTGAAGCTCATGCCTGTTGGAGTCTAGGAGTGCTCCAGGGGCGAAGACGTTAGCTCTGAGTGAGTTGTTGAGTGTGACTCTGGAGGGGTGGCCAAGCCGCTGGTGCCAGATGTCTCTGGAGGCGCGATGTCCTCGAGTGCGCTGATAGCGCTGGCAGGAATCATCGGGAGGAGGAGCTGGAGGTGTGTCAGCGAATGCAGGGGCTGTGATGGCGAGAGCAAGGAACTCGCGGTCTATGAGGTTCGTTGTGGCCTCTGTTTCTCGAGGAGAGCCGTTTGGTCTAGCTGCGCTCTCGTCTATTTCTTCAGGATCTGTTCTCGGGCGAGGGAGGCGAAGCGGTGGTGGACCTTCGATGATTTCGATCTCTTGGAGCGTTGGCGGACCTTCGATGGTTTCGGTCTCTTGGGTATCAGCTTCGGCATTGGGTGTGACAGGAGTCGGTTACTAAGGGAGAGGGCTTTGAGGTTTGGGTGGTGAAGATCCGTGGTAGCTTCTTTAGAGTAGAGTGGTTTCCCAAGTAGGGATTTCATTGTACTCGGCCTAAGTTCCAAGGGCTTGAGGAGGGCAACCAAGGTGAAGATACGCCTTCGGTGCGATTCTCCCCCTTTCGCCTTCGTCTTCCTCATCATCTCCTATGCCTTACCATTTCCTTGTGGTTCATACGCCAACGGCTTGTAGATGGATTTCAGTTCCACGGAAGCCTCGTGCCTCTGCCCAATTCTCCAGCTGTGGGTGCCTTGGGCTAGGGTTGTTGGGGAGGGTCAGTGGTTTCCCACTCAGTGTCTTCCGCTGACACTCCTCCCCAGATGCCTCTGCTTGGAGAGGGCCCCCAGCTGCTCGGAGCTCGGAAAGGTGGTGCACGTATCTCGACTCTAGGTTCTGGGCATGTGGGTTCCAGTTCTGCTGACGTTGTTCCCTCTGCTACTCACTGTGCTGCTCCCTCTACTGCTCCCCTTGTCCTTCTGTTGCTGCTGCTGCCTCTGCTTGGCTACTGTTGCTGCTGCTTCCCGTGCTACTAAGGCTGCGACCATAGTTGCTTGTGCTGCCTTTGCTACTTCTGGGGACGTTGGTTCGTATTGAGCGGCGATGGTTCTGAGGGAGCTACCCCATGTATCCATGTTAGATGCAAATTTGGTGGCCAGGTTTGCTACCTCGCATGGCATGCGTGTGTAGCTCCCATGGTTTTGATCATCCTATTTCGTCAAATGAGCCTGGTCCCACATAGGCTAGGACGCGTTCTAAGCGTTGCCTTGAGTCGTGGGGAGGGTATGTGGTTCCTCGGGGAGGAACAATGGTGATGGCTGCAGCAAATTGGGAGGTTGTCATGCCGACCTCTCGAGTGAGAAGAGACTCCTTCTCGTCATCCTCGAGAGTTTTGAGTTCCGTTCTAGCGATGTTGCTGGAAGAGGTTGTAGGATTTCGACAGGTATGGCAGATGCCGTCTGGTCCAGGGTCGTGCAAATCCATCTCAGTTGGGTGCATGTGATGGGTGAGCCACGGGCGGCCGTCAAGGTGTTTCCAGTCCTCCTCTTGGTAGGCGAAGTTGAGAGAGACAAGGTCGATCAGCTCATGGCTATCGCCCTTGCAGTTGTTGATGTCGAAGTCTAGAACGTAGACTCCGTCGACTGCTGCTGCCCTGCCAATTTACTATAGTGGGTTTTGCTCTTCGTTGGGCTGATGTGGCTTGCGGTAGTGTAACAGGAGATCTCGTGTCTGAGGGTTGGTGCTGATTTCAACACCGCAAGACATCGATTACGCCGTTGAGAGGAGGTTGTAGCGCAGTTTTTGAACGATGAGCACGTCGTTCAGGGTGATGTGCGACAGGGTGTAGTGCGCTTTAGGACAACTATTCCCTGGTGCCTTGCCACCAGCCATTCGTTGTTGGCTGCAGTTACGTAGACCGCGGCGGAGGTGGGAATGACATTGGAGATGAAGCGTGCAGAGCCGACCATGTGC